TTTCCACTGCAATCTCGAAGACTCTGCATGGGGTGATGTACGTACTACTAACGCTCTTGTTAAAATAACATGTGTTTGATGGTCGCCGGACTGATGCCAACGTCGAATTACACGCACTGCATATTTTCTCTTGATTTGAAGCTTTCGTGAATGCATGAATCCATACTCTTTTGGTTCTTTCGGTAAAGTCACGTATTTTATTGTATACCTACGCGACTTTACCGAAAGAAACAGACTATATATATTTTCAGTTTTTATTACTCTATTTATTCGTCATGAAAAATGTATACACGCGCAGTATTTGCATTGTTAAAGTTGTATGCATTGTGTAATGTACTATATAATATTAAAACACTGAAATCAAGGATATCTAAAAAAAATTTGTCATGCACATGCTGCCGAAATGGTTAGGACAGGGGTCTCCAACCCCCGGGCTGCGGACCGGTACCGGCCCGTGGCCTGTTAGGAACCGGGCCGTACAGCAGCAGGTGAGCGGTGAGTCCGCACGTGGCCCGCCCCCATTATTTTATTTTTTAGCACTTCCGTCCGCGCCTCTTTCCCGCAATGCGCACTTGTCTCAGTCACAGTTTTGGTGAGCCCACAAGCTGCTAATCCCTAGCCAACATGAGTAAAAAACAAACGTCGCTGGAGAGCTTCTTTGAAAAGGGGGAATGACCCAATGATGACCCCCCCCCCCGGTCCGTGAAAAATTTGTCTTCCACGAAACCGGTTCCTGGTGCCAAAAAGGTTGGGGACCGCTGGGTTAGAGCACGTGGAGCGGTTTTGGTAGTTTTGCCGGACAGCCGGATAATGGTGGAAGCCGGATGATGATCAACTGTATCGCTAAAATGTCACTATTCAAGGAAATACATCACGGATAGTTCTTCCATCGTGTCTCGTCTCCGGAGGCAAAGCAGACGATTCCAGAAGCACCGTCTTGGGAGCAGAAGCTTATCTATCCAGAAGCACCGTCTGAGGAGCCTAAGTAGACTATCCAGAAATACCGTCCCAGAATCAGAGCAGACGATCCAGGTACAGGAAGCCAGCTGAGGTGTTGTAGACATCCTTAGACTTATATATATTAACATACACACACTTACCGAACAGAAGACTTTATCTCGTCACCATCGCCAGCATCATCAGCACCACGACCACCACCATCACCACCGCCAGCAGAACCAGCATCGCCCAACGCTAAAACACTAATCTTCATGGTGTATTAAATTGGACGGAGGCACACGCGCTATTGAAGGGACACCACCAATGATAAACTATCTTTTATCCAGAGAAGCCCTCGCTGAGTCTTCAGGACTGCTTCTCAGGATGATCTTGATTTGAAAAAAAATTAATTTCTCTATGCATCAAGTGGCGTTTTGGCTACACGTTGGGAGGAAACCCACCACGCATACAAACGAGGGGAGGGAACAACGCTCAGCATTGACATCTGTCAAACGAAACTCTTTGAGAACGGGTCAGCAACCCAGGATCTGTGCAGCCATCTGCATGGAATACAGCCCGGAGATTCCTCACGTGGATTCTACAGTCCTGGGCACCCAGCCTCCGGACTGAAATACACTCTGCTCCGGGCGTCCTTATAAAGGCAGGGACTGTCTGGCTTAATTATACGGACCGATTAGGTATTGTGACTACGCGCTCATTGTTGTTGACGAGACAATGATAATAATGACGTCTTGTAATTAATGAGATTCCGCTATTTGGCTTATTGGAATTGTTTTAGGTCGCAGTCACCAGGGCCGTGCATAAGGTGGGGGGGGGAGCAAATAACGCAGTGTGGGCCCCTTGAGGCCTTCAAACTAAACCGGGAGTATTACATCTGACATGGTGACGTCGAGGCCCCCCCCCCACCCCCTCCCAAAGCGCGGAACCTGGGGCGGTCACCCCGAATCGCTGAACCCATGAACGGCTCTGGTGGTCACTGTTCTGCAGGCTACAGACTGCTGACCCATTTGTCCATGACGCGACAACTTTATTTTTTTGTCTGTGGCGGAGAGCGATTCGTTCTCATTGGTATTATACCAACACAATATGACCCAAGACATTAGGAATTAGACTATGTGGTTTGCGCAATATCACGTTTTCACGATGCGATACGATATTACATTTCACGATGTGGCGATTGTCGTATAACGCAATTTTATATTTTTCCGATTTTAATGCATTTCGATATGCTACACTTCTGATTATGAATAAGGATTGCTCTTGGGGTGGTGTCGCTATGGTCCGGCAAGGCCGCCTTGATTAATACCACGGGTGTATCAACCCTAAAATACTACACTGTGGAACCTTTTTTTCCCCAATATCATACTTTAATACTGGCAAAAAAAGGTCCTATAGACAGAACTGCTCAAAGTCAGCTATACATGTGTAGAGGAGTATGTCATGCGCGCTGGGCGGGGCGATGATGTCATGTCTCACCAGGGTACTTAAGGGGGACCCCGTGACGAAAGCGGGGTCGTTGTTGGAGCCCGGGATAGAGAGCGGTGGAAGAGGCAGCCAAGGGTAGAGTTCACTGAGTCTGGAGAGAAGCCAGCTGTAGTCATAGAAGGTGCTGCTCTCCCCAGTCGGTCGGTGTTGGCTGAACCCCCGATCCAACTCGAGGGAGAGAGCCCTGGAGCTAGCCGAGCTAGTAACAGACAGAGTGAAGGTCCAGGTAAAGGACATAGTGTAGGACCCCTACCCCTGGGGAAGTTATCCGAAACCCTTAATAAATAACTGGCGCTAGCCCTTAACTGAAGACCTGCCTCCGCGTTGTCATTTGCACCTCAACACATGCTCTGATACTTGCATTATCTGTGTCCTGTTCACTTTTGGCGTTCTCTGGTCTGACACTGGTGAGACTAGGCCATAATGAAGGCTGTCTGGTGTAGGCCATTCAGTGTCAAAAACGATGCATATATTATCAGAACATGTTTGTTTATATGTTTTTGCTGCAAGTACTTGTGGTTAGTGCGGACTTGCTTCCTTGCAAAAGGTATCTATTTTGGTGTTTGATCATCTTAACACCTGTTTCATTGGCAGAAAGTAAAACCAATTCTTATTTTTGCATACTACAGTCCGTCTGCTTCACATGGGACTTTAAAGATCCCGTGACGTCATTTGAAGCGAGTAGGCCATTGTGTGCTGGGAAAATTTGCCCAATTTCCTGCCGACGACTAAATTGGGATTACACACAGCAGCAACATCGCCCCCCTACTACTTTGAAACGTATTTCAGACTGCCTGTGAAACGTAACAGCACGTTCCTTTGTGATGATAGCCCAGTGCTACAAGAATGATAACATGACATGTCCATACTAAATTATTATTCCTGCAATAGTTATTCAATTGCATATCATTAATAAGCCTGCCATTACACTTTGTAATCATTGTAACTCTATAATCTATAGCACGTTAAAAACGCACATGCTGCCAGGAAATGATTCCGTTGTATAATCCCCCTGCTGACAATTACTCAGAATGATTTTCACAAACACTGAATTAATGGCAAATAGCAATTTTCTGAACTATTAATATTTCGGCAGGAAAATAAATCCGAAAAATAAACAAATATGCAATCGGGATAAGCCAACAATCACCGCAGAACGACGATACGATTATCGTGGATCGTGTATATCGTATGCTCACACACAGGGCCTGCTCTATTTGGAATAACTTCGTGTGATATTTAACATTCGCCGTTACCAAAGGGGGCTATCGAGACATCAACATGCTGTGCTTCAAACTCTTTACATAGTTGCAAGAAAGACGATCTCGGCGAATTGGAAAGATCATGAACCCCTTGCTTGTGGTATTTTGGCGCATAGCTCTCCCTTGCCTTAACAGGGTTGGAAAACCTGATCGATAAGCTGAAAGGGAAGGAATTGGGAGTACGAGGCGACATGGTACCCATTTTCTATTGAACCCGACGTGAGTGTTCGGAGCAATGGGGGCTGGGGAGAGACGTGGGAACTCGGACGCGGAAACATTAACGTGAGAGCTGAGTGATCGTTACTCCTAGGGGAGGAACAAGAATAGTAAATCTGGACATGGCGTTTATATTATTTTATTACGTTATTCCCCTTCCTCCCGATCTTCCCTTCCCCATTAATCTGCTGCTCCTGATCGTTGTCCCTGCTGTGGTCAGGTGACGAACCCAAGTTGTTAACCGATCTTCATTTGGAGTTTTGTACTGGTTTTCGTTATACGTGCGTGAACTGTTACGTTTGGTTTTTGAACTTCATAAAAAAAAAACATCCACTTTTAAAGTGGAAGGGACGTCAATGGTTGATATGCATACCCGCGGTATTATCGATGTTTAATACGCACACCTGTGGTATTATTGATGGTTCATACATATGTAGTGGCGGTACGCGCTGGCAGGGGGGGGTCGTGTGAGAGCGTGTCGGGTGTGGCTACATCGCGGTCCGCAGGCAGATGTCCACATCGCGGTCCGCATAGGCCCCGCCTCCTGGAGTGGAGGACTATATAGGGCGATGTGCAGCAGCACTCGGGGAGTTGGTAACCAGTGAAGACAGAAGACGGAGGAGGAAGAGATAGGGCCCTGAGACCCCTAGCCCCGCTGTCCTTGTAAGGGCCGGGACCCTGTGTGGCTCAGAGGCGAGACCTTGGGACCCGCGGCCGGACGTCCTTGTGAGGGCCGGGCTGTGGGACCCAGTGGTCGGGATCCATACCCCAGCCGGGGTGGGTCTGTGAGTTCCCCTGGAAGCTACGGGGCCGGAGAGCCCGTGTGTGTGTAGCCGGGTGGAACGCGTAGCGTAGGCTGTAGTTGGCTACACGTGTTATTGTGGCTAAGGGAGTGTTACTAAAAGTGTGCTACCCGTCAAGTGGTCTCCCGCCGTAATTACTATATTACACATACACCAGCGGTATTATCAATGGTTAAAATGTATACCCACGGTATTAATCAGGGTGGCCGCTGATTCTCGAACCGAAAAGCTCTGCAAAAATAAACTTACAACACTCACAATACACCACTCTTGGCAAAGCACTGCATTGTATTTATTTGCATCATGTAACAGCAACTCCCTGTTGTAAAGGCACAAACCTGGTCTAAAACAAAACCTCGTCATCAACATATTGATAAATCGCATCTCGGCCTACGAATTTGAGCAAATACATGCTTTTGGCTCTGTCAATCCACTGCTATAAGGTGACGGGACAGCTGTCAGGGACATATGCATTGGCGTTTTTCAATAGAAACACATTCTCATACTTAGCTGTGGCTCATATTGGATCACGTTTACATGAGTTGTTGTACCGCCCTACTCACTTCCCCTATTGTGGTTTGACAGAGCCAATGTGTAAACGTTTTCAACCTTAGTCGGGAAGCTTAAAAAAGTGGATTATTCCCCCATTCATCTCATCATCGACGTGCAAAACAAAGTCACTCACCAAGGCACGTCAAATCATGGCCCACAACACCGCCACGGTCACTGCACGGTCAACCTCAACGCTCAGGCAGGTTTTTTTATGAACGTTCATCTCCGTGTCCATGTGTGTTTAAAATGTACTCACTAACAGCCCTTGCCCCGACAGCCTGTCAAAAGCTGTACGGGTTACCTTGTCTTTAAAAGGTGCAGCCCTGCAAATTATGGCTCGAGACACTGCTTGAGGAAAGAGCCTCCACAGGAGGGAAATCTAGAGCCCCGATAGAGGTCACTTTGGCCTACTCTTCCGCAATGGCCAAATATCTTGCCCACAATTTACCCAACTGACACGAGGCCTACTGATGGTGGTATACCCATTCGTACTGCTGGGTCAGTCAGAGGTTAAAGGATTCTAAGAAACTTGCCCAATGTGACAACTACCACGCTGCGGGAGTAGGAGTGGAGTAGGAGAAGAGGGAGGAGAGAATAGACTATGAAATGGGGCGAGGAGGTAGTAGGAGGAAATGGGGGAGTAGGAGATGCAGGAACAGCATATATGTCTGCTGAACTTCTTTCGGACTGTACATAGCCAACCATGCTAATCGGAGGTGCGGGGGAAGGACAACATACTAAACACAAAAAGCAGTTCTAAAGATGTGAGTTTTCAATTTATATTTAAAAGTGCATAGCTGCAGTGGCTTCCTAATATCGGAAGCAAGAGCGTTCTAGACAGCCACAGAAGTGTATCTGAAAGCGTGTAATGCTGTGACCGTCTTTGTTCTATGGCTAGCCAAAAGCCGCTGCGAGGATGTGAACAACATTGGTCAGCAAGACCCCCTGAGGCAGACGGCCTGAAAATCCATGTTAATTTCCATAAAAAGATGGACTTATTTTGTAAATTCGTAACATATACTCTATGAACATTAATTTTAAAAAGTTGAAAATAAAGCCTTAGCACCGAGTTGGCACCGCTCAGAACCTAGGTTCGAATCTCAATCCGGTTTTCAGCCGCCTGTGATTATCCAGGTTCTCTAGTGGAGTGAGTGGAAGGCCTCAGCGCGGTCACCAATGAATACATTTTATAAAAACCCATTTTTTATAAAAACCCATCGTATTAAACTTGGTTCTGCACCTAATTTGGTGACATTCAAGTTCAGGGAATTTTAAATACCTGTAACGTTACTCTGTGGCGGCTTCGGTGAGAAAGTTCTGCCCCTTACTGTGTGCACCAGAGGTCACCTGAAGGGATATCTCAAGTAGCTCTGTAATGTCCGCTTCCGCGGGCCGTTCTCTGACACGAGAGGGGCGTGATAGTTGATCTCTCAATTGGGATAAAACTCGGGGGGAAAAGACAAAAAAATAATATTTGGAAGAAAAAAAACACTCAGTTCCATCTCTCTACAACGTCCTCCTCTGTCTCCCTAGCAGCGGTGGCTAGTGCTAATCCATCAGTCATTTCGAAGCCAAAGAGTAGGTAGTCCAACTTGTAGCGGTCCATGAGCTCTCCCAGCATGCCCTGCGGCAGTGTGGACAGGAAGTAGGCATGGAGTTGCGGCGTAACGGGGCGGTACCAACTCTGCCGCTGGGGGAAGGAGAAGCCACGGGGAGCGCCAACCATGGCCAGCACGGCACGGGCGTCTGCGTGCAGGCTGTTGTAGGAGCCTGTATGCACATACACACATGCGTACACGTGGACGTGTACACACAGGCAGAGAGGTGTACAAACACAGGGGTGCATCCTCACAATTGCACACGTATGTATACATAACCCACAAACACCTGCACACTCACACAAAAGACAAAGGATCCCACGTATAACCTTATTAGACTGTTAAGGCAAGTGCTTTTAGCGAGTACGTATGAAGGCTGGCACGACGCACAAGGGGGTGGGGGACCAACACCACGCATCCTTTATGTCCCCAGTGCCAATGTTTACACTATCACACTGACACACATACTCGCGTACATGCTCTTTCACACTCACCAAAATGTTACATTTTTGTTTTACATTACGACGCTTTGCACATGTCAATTCATCATCTCTGCACACCCCCCCATGCCCCCGACCACAACCCCACACTGCCATCCCCGCTTTTGATCGTACCAACACGGTCGTATCCCATGATGCATGGCTGGCAGAGCGAGGTGGCGGGCGCCCAGTGCTCGTCCACGCGCCAGGGGTCAGAGGTCTCCAAGGTGTCGACGATGAAGTTCGCAAACTCCGTGAATGTGACATCATCGGCCGGGCCACCCTGCCAGTTCTACACATATGTCACCAGTTTAGCCTGATCAAACTGTTGGGGAAAGTGCTGTTAGCGAGCATCTATGAAGGCTGGCAAGGCAAACGAGGTGGGTGGACACACCACACTCGGCCGCCTTTGTCTCCCTAGTGACATGTTTACACATTTCACCAGGTACTCATTTGAGGCTGAGTCAACCTAGGGGAAGCCCAGAACCGGTTCAGATAATCGTCACTGGTGTTGGCTTTGAGCGGGAATCGAACTCGATCCGCGAGGTTCGCAGCGCAGCGCGCTAACCGCTACACTACCGCTCCCCACTGTACCAGGTACACTTTCGCACACACTACCACACACACACATGGACAATGACACAAAAAAAACCAAGGAATAAAAAACATACCATGGGTTCTATAGGTGTACTGTCAACATATATTTCAAGCCGCACAACAAGATGGCGTCACACCATGCTGAACATGTGATGCAATGAAATTACTTCACATGTAATATATGAGCGCCGCAGTGGCGATATATTATCTCCCTCGCCTGGTATGGAGGAGGTTGTGGGTTCGATCCCGACTCTGGTGCCTGCATGTTCTTCCCCATAGTCGCATAGATTTTTCTCCAGGTCCTCTGGTTTTTCCCTCCACATTTAGAAACATGCGTTTAATAGTATTTGGCTGCTATAAATTTCAACGTAATAAGCCACTTCGTTGAGCTATAATTTGTGGCCGGGTCGCTTCTGAATAATAGCTAAACATATATAGGGGTTAGTCTCAAATAGCAGCACAACTTTATACGAATGTTTTGAATCATCTTCAGAAGATTATCGTGCCCTCATATTACGGACAAACGGGGCTAATGCAATAACGCCTCCAATCTTCACCATTAAACGTGAAAACATCCATTACTGGTTTTCCGAGAATGTAACTCATCTCATCAGAGCTAGGAAGCAAAGGAGGGCTGAGGCTGGATAGTGCTGGGATGGGTGATCACCAGGGCCTTAATTTCAGCTGCGCATGTCGAGGATAGCCGTCCAGAAAATATTTCGGTACCCCGCACACGACAAGTAAACCTCCTCATTATAGCCATGGCTACTACTAGCCAGGTGGTGCTAACTCGAGTCTACCAGCGAACAAGAAAACATTTCAGTGAGATGTTAAGACCCCGCTGAACGGCATGTACAACGGGTTATTATAGGTTCCTGTGGGGCTGTGTGGTGGTCAGAAAGAGTGCAGCAAAATCTCCATTGTTGTATTTTACATCTGTGCTCCTGCAGCTCCGCTACCCAGCTTGACCGACCTGCACTGACCAGCATGGTGAGCTACGGACAGGACACCCCCTTATGGTGGGGAGGCCCTCATCCAGCAGTGGATTGATAAAAATGGAAGTACATGAGCACTGCACTGCATAGAATCACCATGATACGGCGATACTGCGATACATCGTACGATGTAAGGTCCATGATATCGTAGCTTCTTTAATACTACTTGAATGTTTATAAATTTGACGCCAAAACATATACGATATTGCTCACTCTAATTAAAAGTTCCATATAAATAACTATTGTCCAATTAAATGATTGTTTTGCAAACTGTGTTGTTTGCTTTACAAATAATTGTGGCAACATGTCAATTAATTACATGACGTAATCATGGTGATCGCATTACTTTTAAAACACTTAAACATGGATAAGTTGATTGCACTAATGCCAACAATGCGAGGGACGTGGTAATTATTGCTACCAGAGCACTCTGCACTGTTGGAATCGTAATGTCCACGACTGTTGATCAACTTCCCCACGTTATGGCTGATCCAACTTCTGAGATACAGGATGTCTGAGCAGGCACAGTCCCAGGGGTTGTCAGATCACAGCAACTCTAATTATAATCCGTGGTAAGCTATCTGGATATCGGATCCTTAAAACAATAAAATAAGGAATAATGTGGATTTACATAGCAGTTGAACTGTCACCGAGTCCAAAGACACAGTAAAAAAAAACAGCGGGAATATTTATTTCATAGTAGCAGTCATTTGTCTCTATGTGAGTGTATAGGTCTGTATATATGTTAACATTTAAAGTTCCCGGTTACTGATTGTGTTTGCATTGTTAAGTTTAAATGTAATTCCTTCCTTTATTTTTGCTTTTAACAGAATGTGCCAGAAGTAATTTTTTTTGTTTACGTTTTCGACTAGTTCCTTAATCCTGTAACGTAAAGCACGAACCAATACTCGGTGCTTGCAGCACGACCTGTGTAACTTAGACATCGCACTGTACAGCATCTGTAATGTCACAGGACTCCCATGAAACAAAGCTCATTGGGCCCTTCCTGCTGAAATAAAATCTACAATATAAAAAAATCTAATCGGTTTCTGTGTATATGATAGCTATGTTAGTCTATGAAATACAATACAATGTAGGTTTATCTTATCTTCTATATATATATAAAAAAAGGAAATGTGTGAATGTGTGTCTGTTCAAAATGTTTAGCATACTTCCCGACATGCAACAAACTTGAAATTTGGCATGCGGGTAGCTTCCAGACTGTAAACAATGCAAAAAATATAAACATTGGCTTTTGTATTTTGGGGGGGGGGGGGCGCAATAATGGATATATTTTGCACGGCAAGTGAGCGGTGACGTCATATCTGTGATGTCACCCGCATGCGGCAGCGTTACGCAGTTGCCTGCTGACGTCACGCATCCCACCCCCACCCTCCACGTAGGCCGTGTATTGATCCAAGACAAGAATCCAAGTCTTGGGCGAAGCCGGGTAGTAAAGCTATTTTCATATAAAGGCACTCACTCATAGGTGTCTATCTGAATATATTGATCTCTATGGGATTTTACAGGTCTCTCTGTGGAGATCTAAACATTACAATAACATTTTATGTTGCGTCTAAATTCGACCGCATCTCAAGATGCTGTGCGTAGTGGGATGGAGTTAGCGCCCTCATGCAGGCTTTCAAACTAAGTTGGAAAGTATTAACAAGTGGAAATATTGATACTTACCGGGCGGTATTTACGAAGGATCTGTGAGCCGATGCGGCGCTGATATTCCACCGTCTCTCCCAGTTTGTTGCGGTAGGCAGAGAGAAGCCTCTCTAGTGGGTCCCGCACGAACATGAACTTGAAATAGTGCTGTGTTTGACACAAAATAACTAAGATGAAGATCCCCCATATAGACTTGAACAGACTGTTAGGGAAAGTGTTGTTAGTGAGTACCTATGAAGGCCGGCACCTCACACGAGGGCGTGGGTGGCCAACACCACGCCCGGCCTACTCTCTCCAGTTGCGATGTTTACACATGGCACCAATTACTAATTTTAGGCTGAATCAACCTAGGAGGCTCAGCACCAGTTTAAATAATTGTCACAGGTGTTGGCCGTGAGCAGGAATCGAACTCGGGTCACTGGGTTTGTAGTGCTGTGCATTAATCGCAACACTACTGCTTCCCCATATGTAAATACAGATACATACACACAGATAGCTCCCAAAGAGTAAAGAGAGACATATAAACATTCCTAGAAGACCCTCTTGTTAAGAAAGTATTGAGACTCAGTGAGGCTTTCCTGGAATATTAAATTACACTGATAACACAACATAACTAGTCGTACATTGGCATAGCACAGAAATGAAACGCTAAAATAGCCTAACAGCGAGCGATGTTGCAAATTGCTCATCATGACCCAGGTCAAATGCATAAAATGGAAATCTTTAAAACAAACACATTTTGGCGATGACCCAACATTGCAGATTATGCGGTGATACTACGTACAGAGTGGTGCACGAGCACAAATGACAAAAACCTCAACACATTTGTCAATGACACTGTGGCCTTAAAATAAAAAAATATGGAAGAGACGACGTTTTGGGCAATGACCAGAAATGTTGGATATTAATATATTTTCTATTTAAAGCTACAGTGTCATTGACAAATGTGTTTAGGTTGTGTCTGTAATAGCAGAATTTTGCGACTGCCAGCATACAGGGTAGCAAATGGCTGAATGATTGCACGGTGAAACGCCGCAGACCAGTGAACCTCAAACTTGATAATTGCAAAAGGCGCCTTTAGGCGTCATCTGGTCCAACCCATGTGAGACTAGGCTCTAAGGAAAGCTGTCTCGGGTGTGGACCAATCAACTTTAAGGACAGTGCACATTATCAGAGTTATGTTTATTGTTTGCATTATGACTGCAGGAATTGTGGTCTATGTAAACATGACTCCTTGTAAAAAAGGTGTCAGTTTTGTTGCCAGATAGAAGGGTAAAAAACCAATAATCATATTTTTACTGGCAAATGAGGTTCCAATGGTGAACCTCAAACTTTTTACGGCCATTATGAACATCAACCCTCAGCCACCTGTGCCTCTCTCACCTTTAGTCGATAGTCAATCTCCTCAGCAGTAAAGTCTGACAGGAACAGGAGGTCGCGCTTGTGATCCATCTTGCCTGCTTGGTTCAGCGAATCCATCGCTCCACTTAGCACTACAAAGACAAAGATCCCCTGTGTAGCCTACACAGACTGCTGGGGCAAGTGCTGCCAGCGAGCACCTATGAAGGCCGCCACGGTACAGGAGGGGATGGGGGTGTGGTCAACGCTGTGTCCGGCCACCTTTGTCTCCAGGACCAATGCTGTTTACACACCGCACCAGGTACTCAATGCTTGCTTGACCCAAGGGAGGCCAAGGACCAGTTCTGATGTCACAAATATCTTATCACAGCTATTATGAACTCTGTGAACGAAAGAGCGGGACGTCCATACCGATTTTCCATAGGCATATCCGCGCCAAGCCAGTGCCAGGTGCTCATGGTACTAGTTTTCCACCGGCTATTTGCAGAGCCGAGCCAGAACCAAACCGCTAGCCTCACAAGCATCTGTATCTGACTCGGGGCCAAGCAGAGCCAGGGGCCGGGCTAATGGCACGTTCATTTTGTGTGACATCATCATGGCTTGACTTTTTGCAGTTGAAAGACTGCGAGTCTCCCGAGCTGTATCTAGCTGGTTCGGCACAACCCCAACTCAGCTCCGTTGGCCACTTTGAAAGCAGTAATAGGGAGACACCTAGACCCAGGGCACAAACCCGGGACCTCAGCAGTGGGAGCTTAAAGTGCCTCCCGACATGGCCATTACGAATCTACCCCCTCCACGTCCGGGGAAACACTCACCCTTGATGACGCGCTTCCAGTTGGAGCAGGCAACCTTGGGCACGTAGCAGTAGAGGAAGCGGTACTCGTCGTTTAGGGCACAAACCCGGGACCTCAGCAGTGGGAGCTTAAAGTGCCTCCCGACATGGCCATTACGAATCTACCCCCTCCACGTCCGGGGAAACACTCACCCTTGATGACGCGCTTCCAGTTGGAGCAGGCAACCTTGGGCACGTAGCAGTAGAGGAAGCGGTACTCGTCGTTTACGAGCACGTGACGCAACAGTAGGGAGCGAGCGCCCGGCGGGAGGGAGGAGAGCGAGCGGGGCAGGGCGTCGCGCGCACAGCCCGCAGCTATAGACGCGTTACGGGCTCGCCATGCAACCTACACGACGAAACACACATAGCAGACAATAACGCCTCCTTCATACGTCCGTCTCTCCGCAAGTAAATTTAAAGTATTCTTTACAACAGCCCATCGGCCCCATGGCCTTGTGGGAGTGAATCATGTCAGCAGCATTGATTCAGTGCAAGCAAACTCCACAGCCGTTTTCGACACACAGTATCTTAGCAGCAGTCAGGCTTTCCGATGCTGGTGAACTGTCAGATGTGTTAACACGATGACTACAAGACAAAGATCCCCCGTACAGCCTTAACAGACCATTGGGGCAAGTTCTGTTAGTAAGCACCTACAAAGCGCAATTCAGAACACGAGTAGGTGGTGTGGTCAGAACCATACCCAGCTGCATTTGTCTCCTCAGTGCCAATGTCCACACACCCCATCAGGTATTAATTTTAAGGCTGAGTTGACCTAGTAGGAGGCCTACGAATACTTAAGATCTTCGTCACTTATCGATTTAAAGCTTTCGTGACTGCAGGGATTCATCTTCTAGGTTATTTTGGTAAAGGGTAAAGTCACGTAGAAGGGAAATAATAAAATAATAAAAATAAAACATAATAAAAAAATTCTCACGACGTTTCGGCCACAACGCAAGCAGCTGTCCTCAGGTGAAGAACAGGTCTGTCGGAAAGACAGCGTCTGAATGGGCACCACCAGGCTTGGCAGCGTATATTTAAGCTGGGTTGGAGGGGGAAAGGGCGCCTTGACAAAGGAATTTGCATATCAAGAGGAATTTAACATATTTATGGGAAATGCAGATATGGGATTAGTCACTACTTGTGGAATGCGTAGGTGGGGGGGGGGGTTCAAAGTCATATTATGCCCGTGCATTATGCAGTATGCAGGATTAGCAGCATCAAAGGGAGGGAGTAGAGTTAGCAGTAATAGAGGGAAGGAATTTTAATAGTAAGGAGCTGCAGCAACTAAACCACCACGTAAAAAAACAAAAATATAAAATACATCAGTATCATCAATATACTAAATATACTCTCCAATAAGCTGAGCTACTAACAGTAAGTCATACATTACAATTCTATGTCGCAAAAAATATAATATGCCTCCAGCTAAACTTTTTTCTCTTACATCACATGGGTCTACCCCGTACTATATACTGCCATAGACAAACCAAACATTAAATTATATACTGCATTACTATACACCACCCTATACCTTAGACCAGGGGTCTCAAACTCGCGGCCCGCGGGCCAATTGCGGCCCTCGGGACGATATTTTGTGGCCCCCACCTTAATATGAAAGTTTAATGTTAGTGCGGCACGCGAGTTTTATATTGTAGCAACCCCGCTGTTAGCTGCTGTGTGGGACAATGTTATGATGCTCTGGTTTCCTACTGTGTGCCTGTCCAGTGAATGCGGCATGCATGTGAGTGACATGGAGGGCGGGGTCATGTGTGTGTGTGTGTACGTGTGAGAGTGAGTGAGAGAGAGAGAGCCGGGAGAGAAAAGAGTGGCTTTGGATGTGCGGAGAGCAGGAGGGTGAAATTCATAGTTTTCCGCCCTCTTTCGCGCAGGTCATGATGTATCCAGTGCTTCATTTGTAAATCACAAGGTGCCGGAACGCTAAGTACATATGACAGCGCAGGTACGACGAGCACAGGTACCGGAACGCACATAAAACGACGCTTAAAACAGCACACACATGCCACTTACAATGCAGTGGGACTTATTTAGGCTATACTGCAGTGACGGTATCAATCTTTGTGTCAGTGATTAATAAAGTGGCATCTTGAGCAAAGGCGACTTCTGTGTCCAGCGGAGAAAACGAACGGAAGGCAAATTCAAGGGACACCACGGCTCCTTTATGCACACGCTGCGCTGTGAGGTTTTGGGAGCTTCTTTACGCAGACGGATTATTCTAAACCGCAGCAGTTTAAAACACGTCATTGAGATAATATCTACATTTTACAGTCTGGGCTGTTTTACATTATTATTTACACCTGATATGTGTGGATGAATTTTAATGATTTAAATTCCCTCATCCTCTGGTGGTGACATTTACACACCGAGCCACAGACTGTACATGACGATGTGCATAATTATTTTGGTTCATCTTAGAAGTCTGCATTTGTTATTATTTTATGAAATTGTGATGCTGTTGTTAAAAAAGCTTCATATATAACTTATTCGATTATCTTGTTATTGCGTGGCCACAAATTAGTAATTCATCCACCGATGTCATCAGGGGCTCCGTAATTTTCGAGTGATTACATTATATTGTTATATTTTATTTTAATCATTTCTTAAAAAACTTTTTTTAATATTCATATTTTTTTCGATACGAGAGGTACCGGATCTGCTCAAATAAGTCCCGGAACGCAGGCAAGCCAACACGCCAGCACAAAGTAAGCACAAAAATGTATAGAAAAATGTGATGATGTGACTGAAGGCAGCGAAAGCCCCGACAGTGGCCAGCAGCATTTGAACCCCGTGGTCACACAATGACGCTGCCTCATATAGTCCTCTCCTCTCCCTCTTTCGGCTCTCCACTGTGCGCGCACCGGAGCACGTCAGAGCATAAATCCACAGCTCATCCCGGCTCAGATCCCCGTGCTTTGAACAGAGAAGCGTGTATAGTAGCAGCCGCTACAGCTGTGTCTGCCTGTGACTGGGGTGTGGGGACGAAATCTGATGGGAACGCATTACCCCCCCCCCCCCATAATCTACGCACCTGTTGTTACCGGAAAAAGTGGAAATGACGTGCATTTGCGGAAATTACGTCTCCGTGCGTCGCTGGTTGGCTAAACACTTGACTGAAACTTTATTGCGTGAGCGACAGCAAGTGGAATGAATATATATCTTGTCACACAGCACCAATCATGTCTTTTTCAAAGCCTGCAGTGAAGAGAAGAGGTTGGTGACGAGCACAGACAATTTCAGGAAAAGTGGGAGATGCAATATTTCTTTGTTGAGCACATGAGCACCCCGACGTGTCTAATTTGTACAGAAAAAGTTGCGGTGCACAAGGAATACAACCTCAAACGTCATTACTCAACTAGACATGCTGAGGAGTATGCAAAATACCAGAGAGATGAGAGAGCCAACTGGGTTACCAATCTTAAAACATGTCTACTGAGGCAACAAAATGTCTTCAAGAAAGCAACCAAAGAGAATAATGCAGCAGTCGAAGTAAGCTACGTGTTTAGTGAGATGATTGCTAAGGCAGGAAAGCCATTCACAGAAGGCGAGTTGATCAAAAAGCGCATCTTACAGGCTGCAAGTATAGTCTGTCCGGAAAAGAAAGGTCAGTTTAGCAACATCAGCCTTTCTGCTAACACCGTGGCAGAGCGCATTTCTGACCTGTCAAGTGACATTTATGATCAACTGCGTGAGAAAGCCAAATTTTTCAATGCATACTCAGTCGCTCTTGACGAGAGTTCAGACATCACTGACACTGCCCAGCTCACAATATATGTCCGTGGTGTTGATGACAATTTTGAAGTGATGGATGAGTTGCTCACAGTAATTCCAATGCATGGCCACACCACCGCTCAGGAGATATTTTGCCAGCTGTGTGATGCCATTGTGAATGCCGTTTTGCCATGGAAGAAGTTTGTTGGAATAACAACAGATGGAGCGCCATCAATGACAGGGAGGAAAAATGGACTGGTGGCACTTGTTCAAAGAAAACTAGAAGAGGAGGGTGTGGAGGAGGCCATTGCTCTGCACTGCATTATCCATCAGCAGGCCCTTTGCAGCAAATGCCTGAAGTTTGACAATGTGATGTCTGTTGTTGGGAAATGCATCAACCAAATCAGATCCAGGGGCTTAAAGCACCGGATGTTCCGTACTTTTTTAGAGGAAATGGAGTCAGAATATGAGGATGTGCTCTACTTCACCGAGGTACGTTGACTCAGCAGGGGAAACGTCTTGAAGAGATTTTTTGAGTTGAGAGCAGAAGTGAAAGCCTTCATGGAGAAGGAGGGGGTGGCTGTTCCTGTGCTAAGTGATCCCAAATGGCTCATGGACTTAGCTTTTCTTGTTGACATCACGCATGAGCTGAATGTACTGAACAAGAAGTTACAAGGCCAGGGGCAGCTCGTCAGTGCTGCCTATGACAACGTGAGAGCATTCTCCACAAAACTTGTGTTATGGAAAGCCCAGCTCTCTCAGACAAACCTTTGCCATTTCCCAGCATGCAAGGCACTCCTGAATGCAGGCACACCATTCAGTGGTGAGAAGTATGTTGATGCCATTTTGAGGCTACAGGAGGAATTTGATCACAGATTTGCAGACTTCAAGACGCACAGAGCCACTTTTCACATTTTTGCGGATCCCTTCTCCTTTGATGTGCAAGATGCCCCTCCTGTGCTTCAAATAGAGCTCATTGACCTGCAGTGCAACTCTGACCTCAAAGCCAAGTTCAGGGAGGTGAGTGGAAAAGAAGACAAGCTTGGGCAATTTTTGCAAGAATTGAATCCCAGCTTCCCTGAGCTTTCCCGAACGTTCAAGCGGACCATGTGCCTTTTTGGGAGCACATATTTGTGTGAAAAGCTCTTCTCCACCTTGAACTTCAATAAGTCCAAGTACAGGTCCAGACTTACTGATGATCATCTTCAAGCCATACTGAGGGTCTCAATTGCTTCCTCCCTCAAGCCAAATGTGGCTCAGCTATGTGAGAGGAAGCGCTGCCAGGTCTCTGGCAGCAAAAAGTAGGCAAGAGAAGCCATGTTCAGAAGAACCGTTCATGTTCTTCAATATTCTATTCATGTTCAGAAGAACCCATTGAAGTTAAATAACTGTTAGTAATGACATTTGAGAAGTTTGGATTTTTTTAGCAAAGTTTTTTTTGTGGAATACCTGATGCGGCCCAGCCTCACCCAGATACTGCCTCCAGCGGCCCCCAGGTAATTTGAGTTTGAGACCCCTGCCTTAGACTATACATTGTAATATTACACTATGTATTAGTCTACCCACCCTACTGTATACCACACTGCTGTATATTCACTATACAATTACGATACCTTATACATATTAAACATTACACTTTTATACTATTTATTATTATACAATCTGCTACACACTACACCATTGACCGTCGCGTGAAAGGTACTAAGAGGAAGCAACGAAATATGTCAATGGGAGAGTGGTGATAGGAAACTTGCAGCGGAGCAAAGAATCCATTCCCTGCGGAGAATAAAAGATATATAGTCAATGCTAGTGAGTGGACTGCGGTCTGAAAGTCACCGTAAACGTGAACACAATCAGTTAAGATCCGAAATGGTTTATTACGTCCTTCCAATGATTGCTGAGCCAGAATCCATCTTCTCGGTTGAAATTGTCTCTGTGTTTGTATATGTGGATCACCTCATGAACGAATCTCTCATGGTAGCCAGATGGCTTGCAGAGAACCTCTGTCTTGGAGAAGTCAATGTCATGTGAGCCCACTGAATTGTAACAGTGATCTGCCATGGCTGAGGTGTTTGTTCTACCGTGTTTCAGGTCTGCTTTATGTTCACGGATGCGGTCCGAGACATGTCATTTGGTTTTTCCAATGTAACTGCTACCATAGAGGAAACTTAGTTTGTCTGTAAAATATGTGGTTCCAGACATACAGTAACATGAAAATAAAAATATACGTTTTATTTTGACTTAACTTGAGTACTGATACTGGCTTGCTTGTCAGAAGGGTATTCATAAGTATGACCGAACGTTCTCAAGTTAAATGACAAAAAATAATATGTTATGGTGTTTCGTTCGTAAATGTGAATGTTCGTAGGTAGGACGTGCGCATCTCGGGGACATCATGTATCGAGTTGTCATTTAAACGTGCCATTTAAAAACTTGCTACCTCCATCATGATAGTTGTGTTCCAGGTCACCTGAACCCACCCTATATACAGCCCTTTTGTCAGCCCAATGCTAGATGAGGGCGTCGTGCACGTCATGGGGATTATTTGACCATACTTCACCATTCTGGGTGAATGCTGAAGGCGTAATTACTGTCCTGGAGTGCACCCGTGGATTTTGCTTTGCAATGCTCTCCCTTGCTCACAACGTGGCTTTGCATCAGCCTATAACAATCCTGTTGTGCAGGATGGTCGCCCATCCAAGCATTAAACTAAACACATTTTTTATTTGCCAGGTATTGCCCACTGAGCTATAAAGCTCTTTTTCAGAAGCGACCTGGCCATTAACGTGGACATTTATAGCAGCCAAATACTCTGAACCAGGGGTGGGGAACGTCCGGCCCGTGGGCCGTATAGGGCCCGCGAAATCATTTGGTCTGGCCTTGCCAAGGCTACCGCAAGTGGGACTCTAAATTCAATAAATCTAGGAGCAAACCTGGAAAAGCAGTTGCAAGTAGCAACATCATCAACACCAGCTAACGTCACAGGCCTCACTAAAGAGAAGCAGCTCCAGCCATCACATTAGGGGCGAGTTAATTAAATGTTTGACCAAATATAACAGGCTAATTGTTAATTTGATCATTTTGTATGGCCCACGAATGATGTTATAACTATTCAAATGGCCCTTGGCAGAAAAAAAGGTTCCCCGCCCCTGCTCTAAACGCATGTTTATAAACGTGGAGAGAAAACCCTGAGAATAAAATCCACGCGACCACGGGAAGATCATGCAAACTCCAAGTATACAACAGGGATCAGTGTCAGTCCCACGACCTCTCGCCACCAAGACGTTAACTACCTCTCCAGGCCTCACCCTGCTTAGCTTCACCGGCCCAACTAAGCCACATGTACACGGCCAACTCCAGTCTTAATTAGAAATAACAATTATGATCCTAATTGTTGTGTCGTACTGCTAATTCGAATTTCATTTCAGAATTCGCTCACGTCAAAGAGAAACAACTTGCTCACATCAGTGAAGAGAATGGGACAAACTCGCTGGCCCGCATAACATCACACGGAGCACAGGACCCTGCCTAACCCGCAAACGCCAAGCGGCCAGCAACTAACGGCACCAGTGAAGGTGGTATTAGCTAATCGTGAGTTGCGAGTGAACTTAACGGGTAGTTAACGGTATAAGGAGGCGGCGGTATGGGCGCCGTTGAACGAGTGACTGTGATGGCTTATGCCGCAGTTTCACAGCTACACAAATCAGAATGCAGCCGCAGAAGTGTGGCTTTGTGAACGAAACATGTCTGTATTCACCAAACAATCGAAAGCAATAAACGTAACATGAATATATATTTTTAATATCACCACCTCTGCCAACGCGTCCGCTTCAGGGCCTACGTCGCCTTCGGGCCCCCCTAGCTCGCCTGGCCGCTCTACCGGCGAGGGCGCGCCTTCCTTGGTCGCCCTCGACAGCCACTGGCGCTCCAACACCACGAGCAGGAGGGCAGAGGCGGCGACCAGCGCGAAGGTGAAGACGCTTGGAGCCAGGGCTCGCCTCCCGGCCATCTCTCGTCTCCGGCAGCAGGTAAACGCCGCTTAAAAATCTACCCCCTTGGCTCCCTGTAGGTCGGGGTCCACTGGGATCTTGGGCGTTTAACGGGAGAGTTAAAAGGGATAACAGCTTCGGAGAGCTGATAAAAGTTAACGGCTTTGTTTGTTAAAAAGTGATGGCGCAAAACGCATAAACAGTCGCTAGATGTCGCCAGATAGATATTCGGGTCTTAATCTCAGGCATCCAACAATCATCTCAGTGTCGTGGATTTGTTCATCTTGTTATTTTAATAAGTGAATACTGTACCTGAAAATAATGTAGTTTTATTTGCAAATTTTAAGTGATTTGTTTACATTTCCTATGCTTTGCACTCCTATCGTATGTTTGTATTGTTTGTTGTAACGTTCTGACCCGCCTCGACTGAAACAGCTGTGAAAAAAGAGCTTGATAGCTCATTGGATTCCTCAAGTCTAAATACATATTCACCTATCCCTTTGCGGTTCAAGGTGAACGGAGCACTGGTCTGCCAGTCGACATTACATCTGTAAACTACTCTTTGGTTCTTTCGGTAAAGTCACGTAGGTAAAACATTTAAATACATTACATCACGATGTTTCGGGCACAACACAAGCGTCCATCTTAAGGTGGGGACAACTTGGCGAAAGCACACCGCTTAAGTGTGGACACACTTACAACTTCCACACTTAAGCGGTGTGCTTTCGCTAAGTTGTCCCCACCTGAAGAAGGACGCTTGTGTTGCGCCCGAAACGTCGTGATTTAATTTATTTAAATTTTTTACCTACGTGACTTTACCGAAAGAACCAAAGAGTATGAATCCTTGCGGTCACGGAAACTTCAAATCTAGAATATGTAAACTAGAAAAGTTGTATGTATGTTGAACTTCTTTCGCATCGTACATTGCCAACAGTGATAATCGAAGGTGCAGGGGAAGGACAAAAAGTGAAACACAAAAAGCAGTTATAAATAAATTAGTTTTCAATCTAGATTTAAATTGCACCACACCATGCACCTCCGATTAGCACGGTTGGCTACGTACGGCGCAAAATAAATTAAACATACAGCACATACACAATAGTAATGCAGGGAGGAAACTCACAAGTTTAAATACACAATTAAGGAACATTAGTATGTTAGTACTACTACAGTATTTTATTTTACCAGCTACAGCCCACTGAGCTATTGGCTTTTTTTCAGAAGCGGCTGAGCTTATTATATGTGACAATTTATAGCAGCAGCCAAATAATATAAACTCGTGTTTGTAAATGCAAAGGGCAAAAACCGGAAGAACCCGGAGAAAATCCACGCCGCCAACACCACCAGCACGGGGAGAGAGATCATGCGGAATCCAAATAAACTGCAGGCATCGTCAGAGTCCGGGATCGAATCAACGACCTCCTGTGTACCAAGTAAAGGAGATAACATCTCGCAACCTCTGCTACTCTTCCGCGCTGACCAGACATCTTGGAAGAGGTGGAAGGTCCCACACTTTACCTCACTACACGTGACCTGCCAATGGACTAACTGTGGTGTACCCATTTAAGCTGCTGAGTGGACAGGTATTACAGAAACTATCCTCATTGTTTCAACTGACGCGCCTGAAGATCAATTGAACCAGGGACCTCTGGATTGCAAGTCCATGTCGGTCATAGTGTCTGTTGACCATACTTCACCACGCTGGTCAGTACGGATCGATGAAGTCGCTTCAGATACCACTCGTGATTGATGTTAGCCATGGCCAGGAGTCGAACTTGGGTGACTAGGTTCAGAATGCAGCTTCCTAGCTGTTACAGCCACTATTCCACCGAGGTACTGTGTTGGAATTATATGTGAAACCACAAGGTGGTGATACAGGATCGCGATGTGCGCGTGCTTACAATTACCCTAAACTCCAGATTAAGAGATGCAATTATTTCCTTAGCATTAAATACAACAGTTGGAGGTGTGTCTTATAATCCTGTGTGTGTGAAAACAGATTCGTATAACTTTAATAATACCGGCCAGATGTTTAGGGTGTGTCTTACTTTCCGGGACATCTTATAGTCCGGAGCATGGGGTTTTTGTAATATATTTGGTGAATCTTCTCGTGTGACATTTGGTCGACTCTAGAAAGATGTGTTTAACTCCATAATTCAGATTGTTCAGAAATACTATAATTGGCATGAATAGATTTTAAAAAATCGTGCCTATGCGTGTATTCGGTAATAATTTCTGAGCCTAAGTGTTTAATTATTCATTTTATTTACCAGCTATAGCCCACTCAGCTCTTAGCTCTATTTCAGAAGTGACCTGGCCACAAACGATAGCTCAACGAAGCGCCTTATCATGTGGAAATGTATAGTAACCAAAAAATCTAACCACATGTATCAAAAAGCACTCTCGAAGTGCACCGATAGCTATTGGGACAAAATGCATTTGCAATTTTTAAATACAAGTCTGTTTCTACGCTGAAAGTTTTGGGAAACTCCTTGATTGATGTAGTTGGGTTTCTCTAGTCCCTTATAGCAACACAACTTCATACTCAAGGTTCGTTCATATTGGATAATGTATACAATAGTTATCACGACCCCCCGTTACAGACAGACAGACAGTGCGAATGCATTTGCCCTCTGATCATTGTCACTGGTTTCCCATAGGGTCAGCCCCCACTTGGAAGACAACTTAATTCCTCAAGTTTAATTCAAATTGGATCTTCTTTTGGAGAGTTATCATGATCCCCACGTTACGAACAGCTCGACGGACGGCATTAAAGCAAAAACGCTGTCAATATTAATTGAGAAGCGTTAAGCAATGAAAAGTGATGCAACACATCAGTGAAATTTCACGTTAAACCTCAGAATTTGTGCCCTTCCCCCATCTGGGGCTTTGGCCAAGGCAACATGTGGTGACCACGTGTTGCTGATGGAGAACATTGGATGTGGATTTTTTTTGACAGATAGACTGGAGAGCTGACCACGCAAAGCCTCAGCTATTTTTGTCATCACCAGCTGCAGCATCATCAGCTACAGCCATGATCTATCCACTGCTGAATGAAGGCATATTCAAGCTATCGCCGTCTTTCACGGTCCTGCGACACCACAATCCATCTAGCTCCTGCACACAATCTGATTTGGACATCATTTTGGATGCCCCCTCTCCTTTGACTGACACTCTGCTGTTGATCCCGAACACTGGTCAACATCACTTCTTTCAAGGACGTGTCCTACCAAAGCCCATTTAACAGTCAATACGTCTCTAACTTGGGTAATTTCTCTAAGTCTGCGAGTTCCTCTTTCTGTCTCTCAGTGCTATTCTAAGTGTAGTAACATATACTGTCTCTATACTTTAGCGCCGGGTACTAGAGGGACACGTGACCAGGGGCCGAGAGCCCTGCCCTCATACAGTAGGGGGCAGGGCCGGGGGCGGGGCTAAGTCATGGCCAGGGGGATAAAGGGGAAGCCCTGACAGGGATCAGGGCTAGTTATGTGGGGATCAACTGAAAGCCTTCACTCTTCACTCCTCGTTCGTCGTATAGTTTGAACCAGGGATTCGTAGGTCAAGCAGCAGGTGTACTGCTGACCCGTTCGTTAGTTAACTCACACGCACATAGCGATAGATAGCCACACTTAGCAAGCGGACTCAGAGTGTTCAGAATGTTATTAATGATGGCAGTTATACCAAAATCAACAGAGATCCCATCAACCTTCTAGCTACAAAAAAATAAAATTTAATCACCAATTTCAACTTCTCTTATCGATTCGAACAAACAGCGTTCTCTAAAACCTCCGGCTGCTCGACAACCCAGATTTTATGGCCTTCCAAAGATCCACAAAGAAGGTACCCCACTCCGTCCTATCGTCTCCACCATTAACTCACCCACCTACAAACTGGCCCGATTTCTGTCTGAGACCCTGCTTCCTTTCACGGGCAAGACCACCTCAGCTGTACTTAACTCAGCTCACTTGGTTTCTCTAATTAAGGATATCTCACTGTTTCCAGATGATTTACTTGTCAGTTTCAGTGTAGTCTCCCTGTTCACCAAGGTACCTGTACGTGATACCATTGCAATAATTAAAGACTTGGTCCAACAAGGAATGAATCCAGATGTACAAACTTTGGTAAGACACTGCCGAACTAACACTTACTTCACCTGGAATGGTACATTCTACAAACAAAATGAGGGTACCCCAATGGGTTCTCCCTTATCGCCAGTGGTAGCGAACGTTTTCATGGAGAAATTTGAGACATGTCATCCAGAGATCCACCCCTTGTGGAAGAGATGCGTAGATGACACGTTCGTCATCTGGCCACATGGCCTGCCAGCACTGAACCAATTTCTCAACCACATCAATTCCATACACCCATCTATTAAATTCACCATGGAAGTGGAAAAGGATGGCAAGCTGCCATTCCTGGATGTTTTGATCGAGAAGAGACTTGATGGCTCATTGGGACACTGTCTACAGGAAAGCCACCCACACGGATGCCTATCTAAAACCTGACTCCCACCACCATCTAGCCTAGAAGAATTCCCTAATCAAAACACTACACCATAGGGCCCATTGCATCGCCGACCAGCATCACCTAGCCAGTGAGCTGGAGCACGTACACCAAGCCCTCAGGATGAACGGATATTCTGACCATAGCATCCACAAAGCTGTCTCCCCAGCCATGGGGAGACAACATTCTGAGGATCCAACCAATACCATCACTTTGCTATACATAGCAGGGGTGGGTTACCACAAATATTTCCAAAATCTTAAACAAACATAAGATCCAGGTCCGTTTCAACACAATACACAAAATCCGTGATTTTATACCATCTGTAAAGGATGTGATTCCTGATATGCAATACCCGGGTGTCTACAAACTTAGTTGTGGCTGCGGCAGCAGTTACATTGTGGAAACTAAACGACCGCGTTCGCGTACACAAGGCAGATCTGAAACACTGTAGGAAAAATGCCGTTGCTGATCATTGTTTTAACGCAGTGGGCTCACACGAAATTGACTTTTCCAAGATGAATGTACCCTGCAAACTCACCGGCTATTATCAGAGATTTGTTCATGAAGCCATCCAGATATATAAACACAGACACAACTTCAATGGGTACAAACTGAGCAATCATTGGAAGGACATTATTAACCAGGTAAAGTCTTAATTTACTGTGATGTCTCCATCCTACCTGCCTATGTCAGCTGTTATTTCTGACTCTCTGTGTGTCTTTCTCTCGCTCATCCTGGACAAAATGCTGCTCTTGGCTCAGGATCTTCAGGTCGTCTTGCCAGCCACGGATGATGATGACCTGACGTCTCTTCAAGTTGCGCGATGCCTCAAAGCCCATATTAACACCCCTCGGCGTGCTGGCATGGTCGCGAGCATGGGACCGGCCATGGAGGAGGGAGCACACACAGGAGAGCGGCTTCTACAGGCCGCTGTTTCCTATCCCAGGGCACAGCGGAAGGGGTCGGAGGAGCTCCACCTGTGCGTATGAGACCGGCCGAGGGGGGCCTTCCCTCGCCCGATGGACGGCCCGATCGTGTGCTTCAAGTGCGGGCTGCCAGGACATGTGTCCATGGGGTGCCGCGCTCGACGGGGAGGACCCTCCACGCCGACGCCGTCTGCGGATCGTCACCCCTTCTCTCCGCTGGGTCCTCAGGCGAGTCGCGGCGCACCTCACACGCAGCCCTTTGTCTCACCTCAGGCATCTATTTTAGAGTCGCGGGTCGCGGATTTCTGTCGGGATGCATCGCGGGCCGATCGGGGTTTTGCGGGCGAGGGTTGGCCGCAACACCCCGCGCTATTGACAGCCCTGGCACGCCGTATTGTCGCAACGGCGGCAGGTTCATTCGCGGTTGTCGGGACCGTCGAGGGAGTTGAGGTACGGGTCCTTGTCGACACCGGCGCATCGGCGACTATCATTTCAGAATTGATTTTAGAGTGCTTGCCTCCAAAATCGTGCGCCATTTTGCCCGTTTTTACTCTCTGTTTTGCCGCGAACGGACAGTCATTAGGAATTATTGGACAGATTTCGGCTACAATTTGCATCGGTGAGATTAGTTTGATGGGGCCGGTGCTCGTTTCAAAATCCCTCACCAAATCTGCCTGTTAGGAACAGATTTTTTAGGTAAAATGCCGCTCAAGATCCTTGTGGATCAGGGCTTCATTGAGTTACCATCGGGCCGCTGAATTGCATTCTCATCATCGCCGACTCTTCCACACAGCTAATGTTTCGGTCTCTGCGATGGCTAACCAAACGGTAAAAATTCCACCCGGTGCACAGATGCTAATTCCATTGCATCTAAGGAAACATCTTGATCTCCAAACGGTTCCGCAGGGGTTGTTGTTGGTCCCCTCCACCTGGGCAGTTCGCGCCCAATATTTGGTCTACGCGCAGACATTGGTGGCAAGCAATCGACAACCTTTCATTCAGGTTCTGAACGTCGGTCTGGGTGCATTGGTGAGCAAGGAGGGCACTGTCTTGGCTCATGCGTCGGCCGCATGTTGCGAGGGGAAAACCGGCGGGAATATGGGTGTTGCAGCGGCTGCGGGGCAGGGTGAGGACTGTGACGAGGCATGGTTGGATATGCTCTGTTCCGAGAGCAAAGATTGTCAACGGCACAGAGGCTCGATCTGCGTGCTCTCTTAATGGAATTCTCCGATGTCTTTAGCAGATCCAAATTCGATATTGGCTGCACGCCTCTATTGTACCATCACATTGATGCGGGAGATTCTGCCCCCATTCGTCAAAACCCTTATTGCCTAAGTCCCAAGGAGAAGGACCATGTGCGCCACGTGGTTGATGAGATGTTGGCTGCCGACATTATCTCTCCTTCCAACAGTCCATGGGGCGCCCATCATCCTTGTTTCCGTGGCCGATGCATACCCGCTCCCACGGATGGATGACTCGTTGGACGCTTTGTCGGGGGCGCGGTTCTTCTCCACGCTTGATTTACTGTCGGGATTTTGGAAGTTGCCTTTAGAGGACAGCTCTAGGCCAAACACTGCATTCCACATGCCTCAGGGCCTTTTTGAGTTCAACCGACTTCCGATGGGACTTCACTCAGCCCCGGCCACATTCCAACGGCTGATGGAGCTGGTGTTAGCAAACCTACAATGGGACGCGTGCTTAATTTATCTTGACGACGTCATTGTGTTCGGACGTACGTTCGAGGAGCACCTGCAGAGGTTGCGGGCTGTTTTCCTAAAAATGTGGGCTGCAAAATTGAAGTTTAAGCCGCAGAAGTGCCACCGGACCCTGACAAAACTCTGTGCGTGCGCACATGGCCAACCCCCAAGTCAGTGGGTGAAGTACTTCGTTTTGTCGGGTTTGCCTCTTATTATCGACGTTTCGTCCCCGGGTTCGCCACGATCGCTAAACTGCTCCAAGTCCTCACGGCCAAGGGTCAGAAATTTCAATGGGGGGAGGAGGAGGAGGCTGCGTTTGCCGCGCTAAGGGATGGCCTGGTCAACGCGCCTCCCCTTTGGTACCCAGATTTTTCTTTGCCTTTCATCCTTGATACAGACTCTAGCAACACGAGTATTGGCACCATTTTGTCCCAGGTTGAGGACGGAGTAGAGCGGTTGACTGTGTACAGGTGCTGTTTCTGGCAGAACGCTATTGCGTTACACGTCGTGAGTTGCTGTTTATTTCGTCCAGCAGTACCGGACGTACCTCTAAGGACGCAAGTTCAAGCTGCGCTCGGATCACGTGGCCCTGCAGTATGTGCTGCGTGTTGAGCAGCCATCTGGCCTGCTGTCCCGTTGGCTTGAGGGCCTTCAGGACTATGCGTTTGTAGTTTCTTATAGAAAGGGTGTCCGCCACACCAACGCTGACGAATTGTCACGTTTACCACCCGGTGACAAGTGCGCGTGCATTTCGGGCGCGGGACGGTGTAGGCCCGTATGGTTGTCGTTGCAGCCGATGTCGCACACACGGACGCAACGGACATGCGTGACGACACGCTCGGTCTCACCAACACTGAGTGGGGGTGACTACAGGTGGAGGACACCTGCTTGCTCACCATTAGGCGCCGTGTTTGTGACTCCGTGGAGGGCAAGAGCCGACAAGTGTTATCCACAATGATCCTGTGAAGGGGCCTCCTGATGCGATGGGACGCTCAATTACAAAAGGACAATGTGGTCGTTTTCACCATCCTGCGGGGAAAGTTTATTTGGGCAACGCACGAACGCATTATGCATTTGCGGGTCAAAAAGACCCTGTCCACCCTTCACCTTAACTTTTTCTGGTCCGGCATGGCTGCTGACGTTCAGAATGTGCTGCGAATGAGCTGGCTGCGGTTGATATGCTTGGTCCCTTCCCCACCACCTCACGGGGAAACAAGTATTTGCTGGTGGGTGTGGAGTACCTTTCTCGGTGGCTGATGGCCTGGCCGGTGCTGGACCAGTCGGCTGCGACAATCATGGACGCTTTTCTCCATGGGTACATTTTGGATAAGGGAGCCCCAGAATGCCTGCTCACGGATCAGGGCAGAAATTTTTCATCTAAGCCACGCAAGGAGGTGTGTGACTTGTTGGGCACCAAAAAGATCCACACCTCGCCCTATCACCCGCAGACCGACGGCATGGTGGAGCGCCTACATAGGACCCTGACATCCATGCTATGTCAGCAGGTCAATGAGGAACAAACCGACTGGGACCTGCATGTCCTGGGTGTTCTTGCCGCTTATAGATTGCCCCCTCATGCGTCCACCGGCTACTCACCGTTTTTTCTCATGTACGGGAGGGAGCAAGATCCGCCTATTGATGTCCAGATGAATCCGGATCTGGCTCATAAGAAAATGCCCGACCCTGTACGTTTTAGGGAGGCCTCCCAAGGTAATTCGGCTTTAAAACAGGCTGTTAACGAGCGGCGGGTGGGGACCTGGGTAACGGGGACCAAATGGGTAGTAGGGGATAGGGCGTGGCTTCACTGCCCCCAGGTCCCTGTGGGGACATCCCCTAAGCCAGGCATGTCCAAAGTCTGGCCTGTGGGCCAAACACGGCCCGTGGTCAGATTTCATACGGCCCGCAGCTTCGGTCTCATAATGTGTTATTTATGGCTCGCTAGCTCTGTCAGAATAAATAAATCATAAAATTTTAAAGATGTAATTCCTCCTTTCACCACACGGTGGCAGCACCATTCTAATTTCTGCCATGGCGACTGCAAAAAAAAAGAGAAAAGTTGACAGTGAGGGCCGCCGCTTTCAGGAGCGGTGGGAATTACAATACTTCTTCACTGAAAATCGAGGCAATTGTGTTTTTCTAATTTGTAAAGAGACGGTTGCCTTGTTTAAGGATTTCAACGTAAAGAGACACTACGAGATTAAACATGCTACAACATACGACAAGCTAACAGGGAGTAACCGTGCTGAAAAAGTGAAGCAACTCCAAGCTGCTCTGGCATTGCAACAACGATTCTTCACGCGGGTCTGTGAGTCAAAGGAAAACATCACCAAAGCCAGCTACGAAGTGGCCATGTTAATAGCTAAACATGGCAAACATTTTACTGAAGGTGCGTTTATCAAAGACTGTGTCATCAAAATGGTGGAGAACATTTGCCCCGAGAAGAAGCAAGAATTTATTAATGTTTGCCTGGCACGCCACACTGTGGCACGGAGAGTTGAGGACATATCGTCAGATATTCAGAGACAACTGGGGGACAGGGGAGTGGCTTTTGATTATTTCTCATTAGCCTGCGATGAAAGCACCGATGCATCTGACACTGCACAACTACTTATTTTTTTAAGATGAGTTGATGACAACATGAACGTGACAGAGGAGCTGCTTGACCTCAAAAGCCTTAAAGGGAAAACCAGAGGAACAGATTTATTCGTTTCTGTTTGTGAAGCTGTTGATGATATGAAACTACCATGGAGTAAAGTTTCTGGGATCATTACCGATGGTGCGCCTGCCATGGCTGGTGAGTGAAGTGGATTGTCCACACTGATCTGCAATAAAGTCAGCGAAGAAGCAGGTAACGCTATTAAACTTCACTGTATCATTCACCAGCAGGCTCTCTGCGCCAAACATCTCAAATTTGACGATGTTATGAAACCAGTGGCAAAGGCAATCAATTCTATTCGTTCTAAAGCTCTATACCACCGACAGTTTCAGCAGTTCTTGCGTGACATCCAGGCTGAATACGGTGACATAATATATCACGATGTGAGGTGGCTAAGTCGGGGGTCCGCACTGCAGCAATTTTTCTCTCTCAAAGAGGAAATTGGAAATTTTTTGGGTGAGAAGGGACAACCAATGGAAGAACTGTCCGATCCTGTATGGCTGGCAAATCTGGCTTTTTTGGTTGACATAACGAAGCATCTGAATTCGCTGCATGTTAATCTTCAAGGGAAAGATGCAGTGGTGAGCCAGCTATATGCTCACACCAAGGCCTTTGGAACCAAACTGCAACTTTTCCAAAGACACTTGTCCCAAACAGAGCCCTGCACCGCGCACTTCCCAGCTTTGAAAGAGGTCATTGACAGTTTCCCACAGGACAACATCGGTGTGCAAATGAAGAGTTATGCAACAGCTATCGCATCTCTTTCTGTGGAATTTAACAAACGCTTTCGGGACTTTGCAGTTATTGAAAAGGACATGTTGCTTTTCTCTTCTCCCTTCTCCGTGGACCCTGATGATGCTCCTCCACAGCTGCAGCTGGAGCTCATTGAGCTGCAGTGTGACGATGAGTGCCGCGGAAAACACCAGCAGTGTTCTCTTGTTGACTTTTACCGGCAGCTGGACAAAAGCAGGTTTCCAAAAATGCGGTCATTCGCTAAGAAAATGCTGAGCTTATTCGGCTCCACATATTTGTGTGAGCAAACATTCTCAGTCATGAACTTAAACAAGAACCAATTGAGATCAAGGATGAGTGACTCCCACTTGCGAGACATTTTACGCATCTCAACCACTGCCCTTAAGCCAGACCGGGTCTCTTTAATGAAATCTATATCTCTGTATCACCCTTCTCATTAGTGTCAGAAAGTTATCTGTTCCTTGATCAATCTGAAATTGAGTGTTTTGAACGGTAACATCTGTCACTATTAACAGTGAAAAGCCTAAAGCACACTAATACACTTGGACTTATGGCACTTGTTTTACTAAACTCTTGAATAAGATTTGGTTATAACTGTTGATGTTATGTACCTGTAAATATGACACAAACTATTGCTTTCTGAAAGATCTTGTAAAAGACAAGGGCAAAATTCACTTGTTTTAAAGTTTAATGATAACAGACCACTTTGCATTACTTATAACTCCTGTTTAAAATGTTCATGAGGCAAAGATATTTAACTCATGGAAATTTAAGGTATTCTATACAGTTTGTTCAATGTTATCTGACTGAATGAAAGGCAGAATTGTGTTTTTAGAGTTGTTCACGTCTGCCTGAGTGGCTTATATTTGGTTACATTGTCATTTGAAAAATAAAGGTAATTGTGACAATGAAAATTGTTTTATAACAGTGTGTATTTTCATGTAACTTGGTTAAAAAAATGTCAGAAGGAACTATTGGCCCCCGGGCATCTTCACTTTATCAAATTTGGCCCACTTTGCAAAAAGTTTGGACACCCCTGCCCGCAGCTATATAAACCCTGGCGGGGTTCCGTGGAAATTGTTGAGGTAAAGACCCCACAAAGTGTTCGCATCCAATTTAGTCGCAGGCGCTGGTTCGTGCACTCGTCACGTCTTAAAACTTTTTGTCTTTCGGTAAAGTCATGTAACGTGATTTTACCGAAAGACCCAAAGAATAAGTGTTCATAGTTGTTTATTTAACGTGTTGTCTCCAACTTATAATGTGCGCCTCCGTGTATGTCACACTACACAAGCATGCATTTCTCAATAATAGTAATAACTCACAGCCCATTTCCAATCGACTGTTGGATGAAGGCTTCACCATGCCATGTTGGAAATTGGGGATGGGGTGTTTGTTTGACCATACTTCACCACGCTGGTAAAGGGTGAAGGACTGGTTCAGATATAGTTCGCTCCTCAATAATGACTTAGATCGTGACCGGGAATCGAACTCATCTAGCCTGGTCCATAGGGAAGTGCGTAAACCACTGCGCCACCGCTACCCCCACTCTCTAGTTATGTTTTTTAAATATTTTTTTCATCTATTGGGTAATTTGGGAAGTTCTGCTTTTTGCGGTTTTGGAGCCGTGCAGATGTGATGAGCACACGTGTTGTGTGGGCTCAGATAAAATGTTTATTTACCAGCAAAAAAGTTAAATTTTGAACATGTCTTTGTCTTTGTGCGCGCCATCTGAGGAACGGTGGCGCAGTGGTTAGCACACTGGACAACAAACCCCGCAACCTGAGTTCGATTCCCACTCAACGGCTATCAGTGAAGAATGTCTGAACTTGTGCTGGCCACACCATCCCCTCGCATGCCGTGCCGGCCCTCATAGGTGCTCACTTATGACTTGCCTCAACAGCCTGTTTAAGGCTATACGGGGGATCTGTGTATATGGTGAACGTTTTTCCTACCGTATTTGGTACCAAACAATTGCTACCTTATTCGATACCAATTTCCACTCTGGCCCATGGACTAAGAGAATACATAAATGGCGACACGAGTAAGTCGACTGGCAGCAGGTGGTGGGGTAAAAGTGTGTGGGTATTTACTACTTCTTTAGGACCAGCGTGGAAGAGTAGGCCAAATACCCTTCAGAGGGGTCATCTATAGCTCTCGCTAGTGGAGGCCTTTCTGCCAACAGTGGCGTGAGCCAAATGTTGCAGAGTTGCCTGTTTTTTGTTTATCTGTGTCGCAAGAACAGTTGATTATTTTTCTTTATTAATATTTAACCACAGTCTGGCTGCCATACATTTGTTTTATTTTATTATTATTCTGTATTGTTGAGAACATTACGACGCACACATTGCCTAACAACCGTGCAGTCCAGTTTGTTCACAATGGCTTACTCCTCTATTCCGATACTACCTTCTGTGTCCATCATCAACACAATTATCTTCATCATCTTCATCGCATTCCACGCATCCGTTGTATCTCATCCTCCCCGCTCACTCACCTCTTCCTCCTTCTCTCCCAACTCTTCCTCTCCCTTCTCATCTTCCTCCGTTTTCCCGATGCCACGTGACTTGGCTCACTTCAGGCGATCCAAACGCCAGGTGTGGCCGTTTAAATTCGACGTTCTCGGGCTGGCGAGGACGGTCGTTGGCTACGCCATCAAGTTCGCGTACGAAGACCCGCGGGCCGACCGGTGGCAGCAGGAATGGCGCAATTTCGCGCAAGAGATGAGAGGTTCCGCAGGTACGTGTGACATCATTCATCGTGTTCACCAGATTAATAAGACGTGCCAAAAAGTAAAGACGCACCCATAAACGGATACCCGGCGGGTCAATAAAGTTCTACAAATATGGTCTCATAATATATACAGTGGGTAGGTGAGTCCTCGCTTAACGTGTGTTCACACGCGTTTTCACTACATGTGGTTCTTCCATTAGGGAACGCTTTTCACACAATGTGGAATGCGCACCGTTATAAACACAGTTTCTTAGTAGACAAATAACTACTTTTTTAGCTGCGCGGCTGAACGGTACGATACAATATGCGCTAATGATAAAGAACGTGGCGGCATACCCTCAGTTATTTGTCTCGCCATCTCCTTGTGTGTGCGTACATCGCTTCTCGCCAGTACCCTTCTTCATAGAGATATCTGTATCAATTAGGGCTGCCGCGATATGGTGACGCTACCATATGATATACATGGTCCACGGTAAGCATACTGTTGCTCATTTTATACTTAAATGCTTATTTCCTGCACTAAATTATATTTAAAATATCACCAAAAAGTTATAAATAGATATTGAACCCACTAAACATACTAATTTTCCTGCACCACTTCAGGCAAGCTTATTTAGTATAGAGAGACTAAGAGATGTTCCGAGGTCACAAAATTCAGCCAGAATCTCATTTAGACTGCAAAGCCAAATGATAAAACCGGGTAGAGACGTCAAACTGTGTTGTTGTTATAGCCCGATCCTCAATATGTGCTGATGCTGGCAGTGTAATGGTTGTCACGCTAATCAGGAGGTCGCTGGATAGATTAGATCTCCTGGTGCGATGTTTGAGAATTAATTTTGTATGTTGAACTTCTTTTGCACCGTAAATAGCCAACCGTGCTGGTTGCCTCTGTCCTCGACGGCAGGTCCTATGTGGTTAGGGTGAAGTGCTGGTACTGCCATCTATTCCAGAGGATCTTTACCTTGAGTGGAGGAGACCCTTGCAGCAGCAGTGGCATGAGCAAGGAATTGCAGGGCCGCACCTTTACCTAAATTAAAAACTCATTTCCAGATTGAAAACTAATTTCTTTAGAACAGTTTTTTGTGTTTAGTTTGTTCTCCCCCCGCACCTCCTATTAGCATGGTTGGCGATGTAAAGTGCCAAATAAGTTGATCATACATACCTGTTTATCAGTAATTTGTATGATTACAACATATACGTGATGTTGAAAACAATTGCAAGCTAGTTCTTGAAAGGTGGGTTTCCTTGATGCTATATCGTCCACGTGATGGAGTACAAACCTCACACCTTTGCGTTCATAACGGCCTCGCATCGATTGTCGACAGGCTTCATACGGCACTCCCTGCTGTCCCTGCCATCGCTGCTGGAGCGCGTGGAGGCGCACGGGGAGTGGCTCCACGTGCGCGCCACGCTGCGCTCTCTGCTCTCCCGCCTGCGTGTGTTCCACCACCCTCTCGCGGAGCTGCAGGGTGCTGGTGGCGCCCTGCACCCCCGCTCCGCCGAGACCTGGGCAACCAACGCGATCGACCCCACGTCGGGCATCTTCGCAGCCCTTCTGGATCTCAACGCACTCATTCTGGACAGCGATGCCGGCGGCGGCGGCGATGCCGGCGGCCGTGCGCTGTACGCGGCGTACGCGCACTCCCTCATGGCGCATGGAAACGAAGGGATCCTGTGCCACGCGGGGACGTCGCGACTGGGTGCCGTGGCCTCCCTGCATATGCTTGTCCAGGGTGCCCGCCTGCAGGCACTCGAGGCACTCATGGCGGCCTACAACCTCGCGGGGGCGGCTTCGGCGGCCAACTTTACGGCAGAAATGTTGAGAAAGCTCGAGCTGTTCGAGGGACACACTGCTCAGCAGGAGACGGCCCTGCGCAGCGCCGCCCGCTCGGCCGACGACCGGGTCCTTGCGTGCGGTGACGGTAGTGGTCGTGGTGGTGGTGTTGATAGTAGCGGTAATGGAAATAGCGGTAAGACACACACGCTGTTCACAGTCTTCCAAGGCATCCAGTTGAGCGAGGCACGGCTCGGAGACGGCTCTTGCATGGGCACGTGTGAGACTTCACACAGGCAAGTGCTACCCCCTGCCCAGCCACGCGCGCGACACTGCGAAGGAATTCTGCTCGAGTGCCAGGATTCCTGGGACTACGTTGGTCTCAACCTGGCCCCCAGTGGGGACTGGCGGCGAATACTGGCCATGGGGAACATCAGGGGTCCAAAGGAGTCTGCGGCCGAGAGGTGGGGTCAGAAGATGGTGCGGCTACCTACGTGGGAAGAAGTGAGTGGCGGTGGCAGCTTTGCCGGTGACTATGCCTACACGAGGTGGTTCTGGCGATGCCGTCCCTGCTTCTGCATCTGCGAGGATCCGTGGAGGAATACGGCCGAGTTCGACCTTGGGGAGGTGCGAAGCGACACAGCACGAGGGATGGTGGTGACCGGGGTGGCCATGCAGGCCTCCACCTTGATGGATGAGCGAGGAAGCAGGACACGAGTCCGGCTGGAGGTCAGACAGGGCCGATCTCGACCTTTCGGACATGCTGAACCTTCAGAGCCACGATGGAGACGGGCAACTGGCAGTCGTGGAACTAATTTTGAAACCAGGAGCCGATCCGATGATGCGAATGAGCACACACAATGGAATGGAACCGAAGCGACCTTGGCGCAAACTTATTCCATCTCTCGCGAGCAAAGGAGAGCGACCATCGACCTCCAGGATGTGAGAGTCGACCCGGGCTGCGTCCTTACGGGAGTGGCCTTCTTCGAGAGGGGCAAACACCTCGCCCTCAAAGTCCACCAGACCCCGATCGAGCCGGACACGGGCCGTCTACGCGCACATGAGGGCCGCTGGAAGGAGCCGCCGCCCACCGTCTGCAGCTTCCCATCCACACAGGGACTCGAGCTACCACCTTCCTGGTCAGATGGCCACGTGGAGCGGGGCCCATGCGCCGAAGCCAACATGGAATTCGCTTGGTCATCCAAGGAGCAGGACGTGGCGCAGAGCACGCTGCCGGCAATTGACACGAGGCTCGTGGCGCCAGACGAAGACGTGTGGCGATACGGGGCAGGGTTGCACTATGTAGCACGGCAGGGGTTCGCGGGGTCCATTGGGGTCAGTTTGCTCGATCGGCCAGACTGTGGCGGGGTCAATGTGGGGTCAGAATGGACAGATAGGTTCTCGAGAGGTCACGGAAAGGACCACATTGAGTAGAAAAGTGTAGAGGGTGTGAAGAGGTTTTAGGGTTGTTGGGGGGGGGGGGGGGGTATGGGTGAGCATAGAGAAAAGGGTTGGTGGATCATGCAGAGATTGCTGTCGTTATGATGTTGGAATAAAACAATTATTGTCAGTCACGCTTTGTCATCATCCTTTCACCATACTCCTAAAACCAATCGCTGAGACTCAACCACCACCAGTTCACCAATAGGAACGCTAAACTAACCACACAGCTCACCAACACCACACTTACCATCATTAGCAATGTTTCTGGAACGTTTTCCAACGACTATTAGTAAATAGCATTTTTTTCAGTAGTTACCCCAAGGAAACAGTATATATCTAATAGGAAATGAGTCCAAACGCACGTGGAGAAGCGTGAGACTCCACGCACACGCATGTTTTTCTTGTCAATCTGTATGTTGAACTTCTTTTGCACGGTACGTAGCCAACCGTGCTAATCTAAAACAACGTAGCATTATGATGTGCATCAGTGCGCTTAGCACGCGTGGGTGTTATAGCACGCGTGTTGTCATGTGTGTGCACGTTTGCACATTTCTGTGCGTAGACTTTAATGTGTACTCAAACTCCATAACAAAAACGTGAAACTCGTTCAATAGTCTGCTATAAAAACAACGGTTGTATTAACAACTTCGTTTAACTCACGGTCGAGAAGTACGTCAATGGCGCCTGAGACACGCGGCGCCTGCTTTTTGTGCTAGTCGATTCCACAGTTTAGAGACCACGGCGTTTTTGACCTACACAAATATATATAAATAATAAGGCGTCCATACAAAATGTAAATTGCTTTCAAGTAGCGAATTAATTGATGCCGATTTTGACAAGGCATGCATTGTCATCGGATCTGAGTACGTGTGCAAAATGTGGAATTGATTGGACAACGGGAAGTGGACGAAATTTAGATTACAAGATTTGACCACGACAAAGAGGAATCAGGTGAAGTAAAACTCGTTGAAAAGAGTTCCATAGCTCGTCGGATTGTTTAAGGATAAATGATTCTGCTTATACTCTTTGGTTCTTTCGGTAAAGTCACGTAGGTAGAAAAAATAAATACATTTCATATCACGTTTCGATCTCAACACAAGCACTCACTGTATTTCTTCCTGGCTCAGCAGTTCCGCTGCTGGATATTTTTTTCCGCCTGAGGACGACCGCTTGTGTTGCGATCGAAACGCTGTGATATATAATTTTTTATTTTACTTTTCTACCTACGTGACTTTACCGAAAGAACCAAAGAGTATGGATTCCTGCAGTCACGAAAGCTTCAAATCAAGATTCTTATTCTTCCACGTGAACCGCTCTGGCTGGATGTAATTCGAAGGCAACGGTGCAACCCTGCAATTCCTTGCTTATGGCACTGCTTGCAAAAAGGCCTCAACGACAAAAAGCCCGATAGTTCCTCTCGACTATAGAGGGTCTTTGGCCAGGCGTTTTAGTAGATGTGGGGGTACACTTTACCCCACCACACGTGACTTGCCGATCGACTGCGGTTTACCCATTGAGTTAGACTGCTGGGTGAAATGATGGGTGGACAGAGGCGAGTGGGTGGGAGGGGATTTCATAAACTTGTACCATCGTTTCAACCACCGCGCCACAAATCGAACCAGTGACCTCTGGGTTGCAAGTCCAGTGTGCTAACCGTCATACCACAGATGCTTCATGGCTAAATATTAATAAACTAATAAAACCACCCAGAGTTATCAGTGTTTAACAGTTATTCAAACAGAAAAAGGGTGAATTGGGATTCAACTATGAAAAGGAGGCAAATTATCCCAGATATACTGTCGATAGCTTACAGCTCGTGTCGATCCACTACTGGATGAGGGCCTTTCAGCACCACGTCAATCATAGGGGTTTGTGACCATACTTCACCACGCTCGTCAATGTGCCGATTGAAGGGGTGGATGCCCTCAAACCGGTTCAGATATCCCTCGCCCACTGCATGGTGTTAGTTGTGGCTAGGACTCGAACTCGGGTAGCTCGATTCATCCACAATGCACTATCCGCTGATCCCGTAATATCGGCATCTTCCCCCCCCCCCCCCCAAACTAATAACTGATGGCACAATCTGGGAAGGAAAGGGATAAAGAAATTCTCAAACAAAACTAACGAACAAAATCTCACCAGCCACTTAAAAATATAAAACACCACATTTATTATCAAACGTGAGGAAACAACACCCAGCTTCGTATCTCGATCCCATCTGGTCTCTTAAGCACAGGCAGACGGACAGACACGCGCTGTGATCATTTAGTTACAAGTTACTCAACCTCAGCAGGCAAATGTGGGCCAGAGCACCATTGAATACATGAGCAGAGCGGCCATAATGAAGCCACGACTCCCCACGGTTGTGACGATGCCGTCAGTGCAGGGGGTTTTTTGTCCCTAAATCCATTCCGCGCGTCACCAACAGCAGCAGGACAGCGCCACCCTTTTTCAGGCGTACCAAATCTTCCCCGTTCTAATGCAAAGTTTCGGACTTCACGCGCGCCTTTTGCTTGCTAAACACATACGTGGCGTAGAGCGCGTCCATTTAAATTCAGTTGTCGATCTCTGAACGTCATGTGGGGCACACGCAATGTGTGCACAAGGTTTCTAAGTTTAAATCAAGAGCTGGCGGCGGTGACGTGGCGTCGAGATAGCGCGTCAGTCGCCTGTTGCATAGGTTCACAGTTGCAATCCAGCGGACGCCCTGGTGATTATTATTGCGTGTGTAATAAAAAGAAATATACGCGCCGTCCGCTTCACCGTGCGCGTTAACGACTCCGTGACGTCATTCGCAAGTGTCGACGAGCTATTGTGTGCCGACGTCAGTCCAAATTTGCAACGACAAAATAAGACCGCAAATTACTAAATTAGGATTATACATAAGCAATCATCTCCCCCCCCTACTGCGAAAACTTGGCAGGACCCTCCTGAACAAGAGTCGCGAGAGGGCTTCCTGGGTAAACAAGCGTGATACGAATAACAAGAGCTATGTACTGTGGGACATGTACACAATCTCTATTTTTTTTATCGGAATTCTCTACGTCACGTGGGACACAAGATCTCACGCACGCAACCTCGATCTCCACTTTGCATCCGCGGCACTCTACGTCACTTGGGATTTGTTCACCAATGATCACGCACGTGCAGCGTGTAACGTGGTGTAATGAGCGAAACGCGAAGGTTTGTTTTGAGTTTTGAAAATCCTGACACAGTTCAAGTCTAACCCTGACCTCTGACTTATCCCTGCCCCCACCACCAGTTGCGAAAGCGATTGACCGCACGCATACTCGGGTAGCGAGTTCAACTGCTGGTCAGTGATCAAATCAAGGCACCACCATCATCATCGTCCGTTCGAAGGTCAATAAAATGCGTGGTACTACTTTGCGAAAAGTAACTGGTGGTCTCTGTCCTTTGAACAAACTCACCAAAAGCATGTGGAATTCCAAAGCATAAATTATCACCTCGTGTGTATATGTAGTACAACGTCGCATATCCGACGACCAATTAACCGCACACACCCAGTGCAGTGTTTTATTAGATGTTAAGATACCAGACCTCTTCACATGCAGTTATGTATATATATTCTTAATCTCGCATACATTCGCGTCCTGCTAAATAACAGCGAATTAATTTTCCACGTTTAAAATAGGTTGCGTTTTATTTTGTCACAGTAGCCTATTCGCGCACGGTGTAACTGTCGTTTCGTATGGATGTTCACATATAAGACACTTTCACATATCGGCCGATACCTCAATGCCCAGGAATCAGAAATGCGAGGCTGTACTGCATCACGTAGACGAAATAGCATTAAGGAAACCCAGCTTTCAAGAACTAGCTTGCAATTGTTTTAAATGTCGCATCTATGTTGTAATAATACAAATTACTGATAAACAAGTATGTATGGGTGGACTTCTTTCGCACCGTACGTAGCCAACCGTGCAAATCGGAGGTGCGGAAGGACAATACATTAAAAAAAGCAGTTATAAGGAAATGAGTTTTCAATTTAGAAATTAGTTTTCAATGTAGGTAAAGCCAGTCCTGCATTTGCTTGGTCACACAAATGCTGGCAAAAGGGCCTCCACGAGAAAACACCAGAGAACCTCCTCTAGAAGGTGCTACATTTGCCTACTCTTCCACACTGGCCAGACTTCTTGGAAGAAATCGGAGTAATCACACTTTATCCCACCACATGACTATCTGATTGGCATGGTTGGCTACGCACAGTGCGAAAGAAGTTCAACATACAAAGATACCGTATAGCCTTAACAGACTGTTGGGGCAAGTGCTGTTCACGAGCACCTATGAAGGCGCACACGAGGGGTGGATGGCCAGCACCACGCTCGTCCGCCTTTGTCTCCCCATTTGACGCAAAATCGACCTACGGGAAGCCCAGAACCGGTTCAGATAATCGTCACTAGCAATGGCCGTGAGCAGCAATCAAACTCGGGTCGCCAGGTTCTGAGCGTAGCGCGCGCTCCCCATGTATACATACAAATACATACATACATCTGTGGTATACTCCTTTATATCACATGGTGGACAGAGGCAGTGGGGGGCCATTTCAGAAACGTACCCCATTGTTTCTGCCGCCGCGCCTGAAGATCGAACCAGTGACCTCTGAATTGCAAGTTAGCACACAAGCCATTACACCATGGCAGAATCCAACAAAACAATGCATTAAGTTGTTAACCAGGTAATATGAAATACAAATAGGATTGCTAATATCCATTTTTGTACATTGATAGCATGATTTATACATCCCAAAACTTGATTATCGGTTTACCAACCATCACCAACCCACTGATCATTGTGAAGTATGGTCAAACAAGCCCCAAGAGGACCGACACGAGGTGGGGGTAAGGCCTTTATCCAGCAGTGGATTGAGGGGATGTTGTTTCACATTTATTATGTAATCGGGATGAGTTATGGATAGAACATTGTGGAAATCCGATTTGTTCCATTTTAAAATGTCGGATTCTTTAGAATTTCCAAGTAATTGTTTAGCACAGAAGTGACGTAACATAGGTAACGTCATACTCTCGAAGCCGAATATTGGTTTCGGATAATACATTTCATATCACGGTTGGATTTGTCTTATTAATAAGACAAAAGAGAGCATAGTCAACCAAGCGATTGGGAACTGACAGCGGGGACCCAAAGTTCACCCGACAATCACCTCCAATGTTAACTGAAGGCTAAAGCGTATTCAATCATCCGATCATCATAAACCTTTGGAATCTGCAATCGATTATGTAACATTGAATTAAAACACGTTAACAACCCTAATGAAAAAAAAGCTGTCGTGCTGAACACTTAACGCTTTAAAATACATCTCAAAATAAAATACGCCTTTTTCCCACATCGGTCTCTCCACGTAACAAAAACTTTTACACAACCCATCGGCCACACGGCCTTCCGGGAGTGCATCGTATCAGCAGCATTGGTTCAATACAAGCAAACTCTGGGCCGGTTTCAACATTGCAGTATCTCATCAGCAGTAAGGCTTGCTGGAACCAACGCTGGTAAACTGCCATATGTTCAGTCGCAAACACGACCAGAGTTTGCTTGGAATGAACCAACGCTACTGATCTAAAGGATGCCGTGCAACTGGTCGGGTTGTTTACGAAACACGTTTATTTGTTTACGTTAAGAGCAATATATGAGAAAGTTAGGGTAATTTTAGTAATTCATTTATCTCCACGACGCTGAAAGAGTATTATATATAATCAAAGCACGTTTGGGAAGTTAAATCTTCATTTAGATGAAACAAACGAACTTCCTGGCAAGTGTCGTGGGTGCACCGATGGTCTGGGCTCACACGTACGACCAAAACCACGCATCATTATCAAATATTATAACTACCAAGACTCATATGATAAAAGATGCAGCCCTAAAAGTACTTGCTCACAACACTGCTGGCAGGAGCCATCGCGAGGGAGCTCCGCCTACCCTACACGTTGCCAGACGTCTTCGAAGAGATCACTGTACCCATAATTTACCCCACCACACAGGACACCTACTGGTTGACTGGTGTGCCCACTTATACTACTGGGCGGACAGCAAAGATACGGTTGGGGGGGGATTTATTTAGAATACTTTCACAATTATTTCAACTGCTGCACCGGGAGATCGAATCAAACCATCCGCCTCTGGATTGCAAGTCCGGTGTGTCAACCATTTAGACCGCGGCAGCACGATAGTGACATCGCATGCATTCACAAACTGTCAATGGGCAGAGTGGTGGTGGTGGTGGTGTAGCGCACCGCACCACCAACCTGGGCACCTGGGATTAGATTCACAATCACGGCGACCATTGGCGGGGAGTTATATTTTAATTCGCGGTTCTGTCCTCACCAACCCCCTTTACTAACTGCACGGACCAGCATGGAGAGATATGACCAAATTACTACTTTGAATTATGCGGAATAGCAACGCTTTCATCCAGCAGTGGATTGACAGAGGGCTGCACTCTTATACGTTTGTCTGTAGAGAATTCCCCTTACCCTTGCAGCCACCAGAGGTATTACTTAAAAACATACAAATCATTTCAATCTTAGCAACGAGTAGAACCTATTACAATTATATATTCACCCTCCACCCCCCATCTTTGCGTTGAGATTCATTCCTGGAAATATTATTTTGGCCATTGTGGAAAACCTAGTGCCTCGAGTAGCTGCAGGGTTTAAAACCATTGCTTCATCATTCACACGTGATCGCAAGCTTTACAAATCGCAACAATAACGCGGTGGCTTCAAAAACGCAAAATCCCATAACTTATCGCAGAGTTCAGGTAGTTGTTCCTGGAACGTTAGCAAACACAGCCACTTTCCACCAACACGTCCGAGCAGAGCCTGGATCAGATTATTTTCCACTGGCTGTTTCCCCAAAGCCGAGCTGGAAACCAAACCGTGAATATCCGTCAAGACAACTACATCTGGCTGTAGCCAAGCAGGACCAGGGGCTCATGCCGCGTTCGTTGCGTGCAACACCGACGCGTCATAAACCCGCACGCACCTCGACTCCTTCACTGCGTGTGGCTTCATCGGCACAGATATTTTATGCAGGGGGGGGGGGCGGGGAACCAGTCACACCAGCCGGGCTGGCTCGATACAGTCCGGCGTGGCTCGGATCGTGCAGTGGAAAATACCTTGTGTCGGCATAAATGTACGTTCAAGCAAATGAGGCGATAAGCAAAACTACCGATTCCACTCCCCTTGGGAGTTCAGAGAAAAAGCACCTTCCCACCCCCTGCAGCCCCAAACCCCCCTTGCTTGAAGGGGTTGTGAGAGTGGGGGCAAAGGGGTATATAGTCAACTCCCTACCCCCCAGCCATATGCAAGACAATTTTTGGACCTTCTACTTGGAAACCACGTTTCCTCAAGACACAAGCTGCCGCCATCCAGCTACGGAGTTTCCGTGCCCGTTCTTGTCAAATCGAGCTGGGCTGCCACTTCGGAACTGGGTACAAATCGTCAGTATCAATATCGCTTCATGGGCTGCCCCGAATTCCCAAAAGCTCAGAAACAAGGCTGTTGGGGTCCGAGCAAAAATGCATCCCCAATTCACACGATAACGCCTTCAAAACGTGTAAATTCTAGGAAATGTCACTTTTAAGATTGCAATTTTCTACGTAATTGTACATCCATTGTGCTAAATGGCATGTAATAAAACGAAGAATTCCATTGGGGATTACAAGCAGAGCATCCCTTCGTGTTGAGAACGACCTCCGAGATCCCTTCAAGTAACATCCGGTCCACGCAGAGTACGCAAATACCTTCGTTATAGCCATACAAACTGTTGTAACGAGCGCTGCTAGCGAGCACCTATTAAGGATTGTATAGCACTTGAGGCGGTATGGCTAACGACACACCCAGCCACCTTTGTTTCCCCAGTGGTCCACACCAGACAGCACTTTCCCCACCCACTCCGTAGACGAATGCATGATACGCCTGACAGTGAAACTGATACAATAAGAATATTTATTTAGACTGGAGGAATCTAATGAGCTGTGAAGCTTTTTTCACAGATGTCCAGTAATGTGTATATATTAATGACTGCCAGACGAAATTTCACGTAGCGATTTGTTGCAAACATTGGTGACCAATCAGTGACCATCTAATGCTACAATTTTTCGTAACCAACTTGAGTCGACTTGAGTTTGGCCGTCCGTGCAACCCGGGCATCATCGCGTTAATTAAACAATATTGCGTCGCAATCTTCAAGTGACCCAAAGGCTGGGGAGGGGGTCATAGAATCGCACAACCGTGCCCGCCACTCACAGCTGAGCACATCTGTTAAGACACATCCGAGTGTGATGGGGTCAACGTGTGCAGGTGCGGCCTAGTGGAGTGGTGGCGCAGTGATTAGCACGCCGTGATCCCAACCCGGAGACCCAAGTCCGAATCCTGCTCACAGCTAACATGTATGTTGAACATCTTTCACACCATACACGAGACCTTGCTAATCAAAGGTCAGTGACGACCATCTAAATCGGTCATGGGACTCCCCTAGATCGACTCAGCCTTTGTACGATTGCCTTGTGCAATGTGTAAAGATCAGCACCGAGGAGACAAAGGTGGCAGTGGTGTTAGCAACCCACCTCCTAGTGTGCTGTTTTGGCCTTAATAGGTGTTCGCAAATAGCACTTGCCCCAACAGTCTGCTAAGGCAAAACGGGAGATCTTGGTCTTCATGGCATAGTGTGGACAGGTGGTAAGCATCTGCCAGTCATCTCAGTCAGCCCCGACATCACCTCCTGCCAGCAAGTTTTCGACACTACACGTGATAGCCTCAATGTGCACATAGCATGGCACAAGCACCGTGAAGATGTCGCCGTCCTTTCGTGAAGAATGGCATCTGTTGCTGCTGTTGCGACGTACACATGTGATGTGTAGTTGACTGTATCTTGCCCAGAATGCATATGCGACCGTGGTGTGCAGTGTTGTTCGTGTGAGGTGTGTTACGTTCAACAGCAAGTTGTAATGTTTTTCATGTAAATTCATTGTGCGTTTAATATTCACAGAAACGTACACTTACACTCAATCATCCATTCACTGGCCTCACCCACGAACCCACCCTTCCACTCACCTGCTAGTCCATGAGACAAGGGTGAGCATGAATTGCCCTCACTTGTGGCCACTCCCATTTACCCTATTGCTCCCTTTCTCACTTCAACAGATTTACCTGCTCACTCTCACTTACCCCGCTACTTACTGACCCACTCACTCATCCACCAACTCACTAATCTATGTACCCACCGACCCATTCAGTTACCTACTCAACCACACAACCCACTCATCCGCCCCTTTCACACTGACCCATTCACTTATCCACCCACTGTTACCCAGTCACCTGTCCAATCAACTACCCACTCTCCCCATGCCCCTGCTAGCTCTTGAGCCAAGGGTGAGCCCTGAGGTTGTGGGATCAAACCCACGACCTCCTGTATACAAGGCGCTGACTCACCACTGACTCACCCGTTCACTCTCCCTCGAATCCACCCACCAAACCCCTAACTTCCCGCCGCTAGCTCTTCAACCAGGGGACGAGCGTTGCACACTCACTCGCCAGTCACTCACGCGCTCACTCTCCCCCTCCTACCCCCCCACCACTAGCTCTTTAACCACAGGTGAGCACTGAGCATTCACTCACCTGCTCACTCATCCGTCCACAAACCCTGTCACTCACTCACCCGTTCACTCTCCCCCTCCCATCCCCCCCCCCCCCGCTAGCTCTTAAGCCAGGGGTGAGCGTTGAGCGCCTCGCGGCTGCGATCGCCGTAGTCGTACACGAGCTCCTCGCCCAGGCCGATGTTCCGCGCCGCCACCAGGATGAGGCGGGGCACGCCGCCGCGACCCCTCTCTGGGCTGCCCCCCTCCCCGCAGCAAACCAGGTGTAGCTTGGTCCTGCAGTTGCCCATCTTGCTGTGGTTCAAGAGGCGGCCCAGGCGGCCAGACTCGGCTGTGGCGTCGACACTAACGACGACAACGACAAGTTATAAACAATAATGACGAGCTTTGCATTCCTACGGCACTTGCATAAATGCCTTCCGCCACATCTCATCTCAAAACTGTGAACTATTTTTATTCACCCGGTAAGGTCCACTGAGCTATATAGCTTTTTCAGAAGCGACCTGGCCACATGTGATAGCTCAACAAAGTGGCTTATGATCGTGTGGAAATATATAACAGCCAAATACTCTAAACGCATGTGGATTCTAAATGTGGAGGGAAAAACTGGAGGAGCCGGAGAAAACTCCTCACGACCACAGGTAAAGAAACATGCAAACTCCAAATATACAGGTATCGTCAGGGTAGGAATAGAACCCACAATCTCCTGTATACCAGGCGAGGTATTTAACATCTCGCCAGCGCGGCGAGATGTTGAACAATCAAAGGGCATGCCCCAAGCGATAACTGGGATCCCACGCACTCCGCACTCACCAGTAGGTCTTGTTGAGGTAGCAGAAGTAATACATGTAGCAGCCCTTATCGGGGTCCCGGGCATAGTTCACTTCGCGCGTCTTTGCTTCAGTCAGCCCGATGAGTTCCCCCGAGTACTCGACCACAAAGTCTCCTCGTCCAAACGAGCGGGTGGCGAACACGCCACGGCCCTTACCCAGCACCTCCCGCACCTGATCACGCACACAGAGACAAACAACCATTTTACACTGGCACCATCGCAGCAGAGCCAGCGGGGTGGGAAGGGGGGTAAAGGGGGGCCCCCCTCACAGTACGGGTGGTTTTCCATTGGCCATTTAGAGCCGGAACCAAACTGACTTCATCTGAATCTGCTTAGGGGCCATGCAGCGCCAGAGCTCGGGGCTATCTACGCATTAATTGCGAGTGACGTCAGTTAGTTTGCCACAAAGATGCAGCGATGCTTGTCATTCAGAAGGGTCTGCAATCGTTCGCCGCGTTTTATCAATGGAAAAATAAAAACAAGATTCCCCTCAAAGACAAAGATCCCCCATACAGCCTTAAGAGACTTTTGGGGCAAGTGCTGAAAGCCTGCATAACCCGCAAGGGGGTGGGTGGCCAGCACCATGCCCAGCAGCCTGTGTCGCGAGTGGCGATGTGTACACATTACACCAGGTACTCATTGGAGGTCGAGTCAACCGAGGGGAGGCCCAGGACTCGTTCAGATATTTGTCACTGGTGTAGGCTGTGAGCGGTAATCAAACTTGGGTCGCCAGGTTCGTAGCGCAGCCTCAAAAACGACACTACCGCTCCCCACCCAAACAGACACACAGATGCACGTATACACCAGCATGCACAAACAATGACAAAGATTCCCAATTTAGCCATCGAGGCTGTTGGAACAAGTACTCTTAAGTTAGCACGCACCTCCAGGCCTTCCTCTTTTCCACACAGAATCGCGTCGTCAATTTTAATTTGCTCCTCCGTCTGTGAAATGACAAACGCAATTAAATGAAAGATGCAGATCAAACGAGGACAATACATTTCGATTTAAAGCTTTCGTGACTGCAGGGATTCAAGAGGACAATACAAACGAGACAGAGCTTAAGGGATTGACAATGCAAACTAGATTATAGAAATGGAAGAAAATGGTAAAAACAAAACAATTTATATGTATGAGGCAGAATAGATGAGGCAGGCGATACAAGAAAACAAATGAAACAATACAAATTAGAGAGCACAAGAGACAGTAAATACGGGCAATACAAATGAGAGAGGAAACGAACACATGAGACCGATAACACAAAATATACCATCCCATCTTGTGTCAAAAGTAAAGCGGTCAACGTTCAAGAGCCATGCACTTGGTTTAAAAGTAATATATGAACCACACCTGACCCATGATCCATATCGATTTATTATGCCCATTACCCACGAAGGACTTGCCTAGTCTCCAAACTATTTTTCAGGAGGATCCTGCCAAGTTTTTTGCAGGAGGTGGCAATGGTTGATATATTATTTGGGTCTTTCGGAAAAGCCACGTAGATAGAAAAATAATAATAATAAATATCACTTGTGAAAAGAATATGAATTCCTGCAGTCACGAATGCTTTAAGTCAATGGTTGATATGTATAATCAAAATAGATTTGCAAGTTTATTAAACATTTTTTTTATAATTTTGACGATGACGCCAGAGGAACTTGAACGTAACACTGCGCGTAGTATATTTATGGTTAATACACCCGCAGTAGTAACTGGCCGCTAGATTCGAACCGTGAACCTCAGTAACAAGTGGCGTACGCACAACAGCTGGGCCACGTTACCACCCCAATGACAAATGCAGGAAAAAAAGTGTTCATGGTGAAGACATTGCACCTCCGATTAGCACAGTTGGCTATGTATGGTCTGAAAGAAGTTGAACATACATATAGACAAATACATTACTAATTTATTGAATGATACGTTACAAACTAAGAGACAGGCTCAAACACAGACCCAGAGTAACAGAGACCCACAGGCTCAAATTCACTGGGACTCGCATACATCACCAAAGATACCTACAGACTAGGGAGGAGAACCAAACTTTTCGTGATCTACTGATTCACACATCTCCAGAGACTCACACAGAGCTATATAGGAAGGAGAGAGAGAAAAAGGCACCTGCAGCTGGGACTTGCACCGTCGTAGGCTTCGCCGGACGGGAAAGTAGTCTGTGACCTTGCGATTGTGAGCGAGCACAGCGTCCTGCCTGCTTGCACACACCAACACGCATGTGCATTAACGAAATGTGTAGATTGTGTGGGTGTGCACGTGGAAAGCAGTGGCGTAGTAAGCCGGTGGGTTTCTGCTGAAGTCTGTGGGGGCTCTGGAGGAGTCTGTGGGAGCTTTGAAGGAGTCTGCGGGTCTCTGCAGGAGTCTGTGGGAGCTTTGCAGGAGTCTGCGGGGGCTCTGCAGGAGTCTGTGGGGGCTCTGCAGGAGTCTGTGGGAGCTTTGCAGGAGTCTGCGGGGGCTCTGCAGGAGTCTGTGGGGGCTCTGCAGGAGTCTGTGGGGGCTCTGCAGGAGTCTGTGGGGGCTTTGCAGGAGTCTGTGGGGGCTCTGCAGGAGTCTGTGGGAGCTTTGAAGGAGTCTGTGGGGGCTTTGCAGGAGTCTGTGGGGGCTTTGCAGGAGTCTGCGGGGGCTTTGCAGGAGTCTGCGGGGGCTTTGCAGGAGTCTGCGGGAGCTTTGCAGGAGTCTATGGGGGCTTTGCAGGAGTCTGTGGGGGCTTTGCAGGAGTCTGTGGGGGCTTTGCAGGAGTCTGTGGGAGCTTTGCAGGAGTCTGTGGGAGCTTTGCAGGAGTCTGTGGGGGCTCTGCAGGAGTCTGTGGGAGCTTTGCAGGAGTCTGTGGGGGCTCTGCAGGAGTCTGTGGGGGCTCTGCAGGAGTCTGTGGGGGCTTTGCAGGAGTCTGTGGGGGCTTTGCAGGAGTCTGCGTGGGCTCTGCAGGAGTCTGTGGGGGCTTTGCAGGAGTCTGTGGGGGCTCTGCAGGAGTCTGCGGGGGCTCTGCAGGAGTCTGTGGGGGCTTTGCAGGAGTCTGCGGGGGCTCTGCAGGAGTCTGTGGGGGCTCTGCAGGAGTCTGCGGGGGCTCTGCAGGAGTCTGTGGGGGCTTTGTAGGAGTCTGTGGGGGCTTTGCAGGAGTCTGCGGGGGCTCTGCAGGAGTCTGCGGGGGCTCTGCAGGAATCTGTGGGGGCTCTGCAGGAGTCTGCGGGGCCTCTCTGGTGGCGTGGGGATCTCTATTTGGTGTGTACGTTTCAATCTTCTCAGACAGTAAACTGATGACACTTCCTTCTGTCCCGTCACATCTTGGAAACCCTACTAACACTGATTAAGTTATACATTCTGATTAAATCAATACCCCTTTCAAGATATCAGGCCAGCATGGAAGAGTAGACCAAATAGCCTCATTCAAGTGGCTCTCTAGAGCACCCTCTAGTGGAGGGCCATCTTTCATCAGTGGTGCGAGCAAGCAATTGCAGGGCTGAACCTTTACCTTTTACGTTGTAAATTATCACAGGTCTCAGGGCAGCACCCCGGGGGCCCCCTTACCTCTTCGCCCTGTTTCTCCGCCTCCCTCCCACGTTATTCCGCGGGAGAGAGTTCCCTGCTGCTGCGGTAGCAAGCGGCGACGTCATCGTTGGCGAGCCAATAGTAGCTGTAGCAGCAGCGGCTGGCGACCCCACCGTCGTGTAAGACCGGATAGTGAAGGGCAGGCCATTCCCCACTGGTGAAGAAGGCGACTTGACGGCGGTGGCGGAAGCGGAGGCCTGGGGTGACCGCAGTGCGGAGGAAACAAGCAGCGGCGCAGTCCGCGGCTTGCCGCTGCCCTTACCTGCACGGGTACGACACGAAGACAAAACATCCCCCGTATCATCTTTAAACAGACTGTCGGGGAAAGTGATGTTGGCGAACACCTATTAATGCCGGCATGGCACATGAAGTGTAGGCAATGACATGCCCAGCTGGATGCCTTTGTCTCCGTGATGCCGATGTGGTGAGAGAGTGACTGTGGCGAGATGATAACTACCTCAACTGGTATACAGGAAAGTATGGGTTCGATCATGAATATTGTATATTTGGAGTTTGCATGTTCTCCCCATGGTCGTCTGGATTTTTCTCTGGGTCCTCCTGGATTTTACCTCCAGATTTAGAATCAACATGCATTCAGAGTATTTGGCTGCTATACAATTCCCAATAAGCCACTTCGGTGAGCTATCATTTGTGGCCAGGTCACTTTTGAAAAACAGCTATATAGCTCAGTGGGCCTTACTTGGTATAATAAAAAGTTTAGTTTCAGTTTTGGTGTACACACACTGTGCCAGTTGCTCATTTGAGGCTGCATAAGTGCGACACAATAACTGCCATAGGTATATATGCACTGACATGTGTTTTCCAGTTGTCCCTCCGACAGAAACTCTGGTTAAAATTTGACTTAAAGCTTTCGTGACTGCAGGAATTCATATTCTTTGGGTCTTTCGGTAAAGTCACGTAGATAGGTACAAATAAAATATGAAATATAAAATAAGCAAAAAACTACGGCGTTTCGATCACAACACAAGCGATCGTCATCAGGAGTGCAGACTGTTTTATAGGTTTAAAATGGGTGTAAGTCCCTAGGGTCATGATCCTAGGACTACACCCATTTGAAACCTATAAAACAGTCTGCATTCAGCAGCTTTCCCCCTGATGACGATCGCTTGTGTTGTGATCGAAACATCGTAGTTTTTTTTATGCAAGTTATTATTTTTATTAATTTGTACCTATCTACGTGACTTTACCGAAAGACCCAAAGAATAAACTTTCTGGTGTTTAGCGAACTTGATGTACGCGACTTCTGTTTTGCTCATGTGTATCTTGATCCCAAATTTGCAACCCTCTGAATTAAGTTCTCCATCATTTGCTGTTGTGCATTTCCAATGGTTCTTACAATAACCGTATCATCAGCATAAAGGTTTAAAAAAATGTAATGTCATTGTAAATGCACCAATGGAAAGCGACCTCCTGACACCATATCGATTGTGGGAGTATTTTGTCTCACCATACTTAACCAAGCTGGTCAGTGTGGGTTAATGAATGGGGGGGTGGGGAGAGTCCCAGGACAAGGGTTCTGCACTCGCCAGCCCACTTTTCTGGCCCAAGTCGGTAGAATATAGGCTGACTAAAACACTTCCTTCTATGGGGGATTTAGCCCGTTTCCTTTACATTCGTAATACATTAATATTTCCAAACACTCACTGGTTCATATCCGTATTTTTGTCTGTCCATTCTACGGTTCTTAAGATCACAATCCACTGGAGGAAATTTGAGGACAAATGTCACTGGCAATGCCACAGAATTTCTTATTGTCACTGCCAAAACATTAACCTACCCTATTGCAGCTCCCCGCAGTGGGCACCTGGGATGGCAATTTCCAATCAGATCACAGAGGTCATGTGACTCAATTCTTAAATAAAGAAATTCACAGGTGAAACACGTCCCGGAGAACATCCACCGACAAAGATGGAGCGATGAAATCAGTTAATGTACTGGGAGCTGGGTGGATTGTTACATCCAGCAATGTATACACCAAGGTTGACAATGACAATCAAGGTCCTTACCACTGTGCGGACGGGTCCCTCTCCTTGGAGCTCCTCCCATCTTAACGGGCGACACATGGGACACGGGAGAAACGACTGCCGCTCCTCCTCCAGCCACGTTACCCTCCTCCTGAAGCGGAGAGCGCTGGTGCGAAGTGCGGGACGACGGGCACCAGCAGGGCAATCGCTCGTTTTCCTTGTACCAGTGAAGGGGAAGAGGTGGAGGGGGCAGATAGAGACTCGATAGGAGTGCAAAGTATAGGAAATGTAAACAATCACTTTAAAAATGCATACAGATAAAGCAATGTTGTTTTTATCTTACCAGGAAAAAGGTCCCTTAAGCTATAAGCTTATTTTTAGCGACCTGGTCACAAATGATAGCTCAACAAAGTGGCTTATAATATGGAGATTTATAGCACATACTCGTGTGCAAGCGCACGATCAATGTTCAGCTTTGGTTTCATCTCATCAATTCACTTGGGATATGATTCATCATTACAATTCGATTCAAGAACTTATCTTTTTTTTTTACCAATCCAAATGTAGTGGTCTCTAATGGATGCAAAAGTGACGCGAAACCAATAACATACAACTTATACGCACCGACCGAAAAAAAAACCAGATTCTGGTGCACACGCAAAATTAGATGCACGTTTGTAATGGTACAGCCCTGCAATGTATTGCTCACGATACTGCTGGCAGACGGACCTCTGCAGACGGAGCGTAAGACCCTTCTAAAGAGTATATGGCCTACTTTTCCACGCTGGCCACAGGTTGGAAGAGGCGAGTGCTTATACTTTACCCCCTCACCCCCAATCCGCTGATCGACTAAATGTGGGCATACCCATTTCAGAAACTCCCTGCACGCAAACTGATCTTATCGCTCAATCTCCACGGACGAGTCCTCTTCGGCTGTCAATCACCCGACTCGTCAAAACTCACTTTTGTATCGTCAATATGTTGATAATTATAAAAAACCACAATTCACATACATGTCAGTCCACTACTGGATTAAGGTGTGCTCAGCCGTGTCGGTCAGTTTAACCATACTTCATCTCTCTGGTCAGTGGGGTTTGGTAAAGGGGGGGGGGGGGAGAGGGTAGCAGGGCCGGTTCATATCAAGTTGACGATCGTGCGAGTGCGCCAATTGCGTTAACGATTATTACGGTACCATTTTCTCCGTAATATAAGACTCACGTTCTTCCCTGTACAGTATTATAATCCAGTACTATCGGCATAAGTGGGCTATTAGATTTGCTTAACTTTGACATGAGCCCACACGTTTGAGAAGTGCCTTGTATGTTTTGTTCACTTTCCGAAACGCATTACAATGCAGAGAATATGGCAATTATGACTAGAGTATTGACGCGGACGGTTGCGATGGTTATTATTATGATGCTCATGACGGTGGCTATAATTATCATTCTAATGCTGCTGTGATGGCGATTACTAAAGATCGATTGTTTAGATGCCGCTGATGTCATCACAATACCGCTGCTTCCGTTGACGATGATTATGCTTCTAACTCAAGTACTGTACTCTGATGACTCCTTTACGGAAACCATACTGATGACGCTGCTGTTGACGAGGAGGATAACGCCGATGCTGCTCGTGCCGCTGGTAATGAATATGCGTTATAACGACTACCACAATGGGGATTGTTATAACCACACCACCACCGTTCCCCGAACGATTGAAGAAGCATATTCATCCCCTTGCCATCATCCTCAAACTCAATTCTCTCGCCTCCAATCCCCTCCAACCGCCACCATCATCATCACCTGAGCCCGTCCGTGTGGTCGTCCCGATCCCGGTACGACCGCCGAACTATTATCGCCTAGCGCCCCGCCGGCCAAGGCACGCCCTGCTGGGCAGCGCTCGCAGGCTTCGACACGGTTAGGCCTCTCCGGCAGCCGGGGAGCCGCGATGGGTGAACTTGGCGGCGGCGGCGGCGACGCGACGAGAGGAGGATCGACGGCGGTAGGTGTGGCCGCCGAGCCGCTGCGGTTCCCCCTGTCTCCTCTGTCTCGTCTGCTGCCGTTGTTCCTGCTGCCGCTGCTGTTGCCATCACCTCGGCCATTGTCGCACATGTTCGAACGGCACTGCTACTGCCGCACTGCGCATGCGCGAGTATTGGCCACGCCTCATTTTATTCCACGCCCCCCTGGAAAAGTTGTCCACTGTCCTCCCCACGTGACCAGCAGCTCAGCCAATAGGCGGCCGCTATTTGTGTTTGAAACGGCAGCGTTTAACGGTTTCCCACCCTTAACGTCAACGCCCCCGTGGAACACGTGACATGCCGTTTGACCAATCGAGATCTTCTCATGAGACCATCGTTCAATAACGAATCAGATTGTTTAACAGGGTTTTTGGGTTACATCACGTAAATATATACACGTGTCGTTAAACCCGCCACCATCCGACACAGCCAATTAGAAAGGTTTATCACGTAAACAGAACATGCCAATTCGTTACAAGTACAGCACAGCAGTGTGTTGGAGAGCAAAGCCACAATGTGATATTATTTGGGTCTTTCGGTAAAATCACGTAGATAGGTTCAAGTCATAACTGCTGTAATGTTTCCATTTTTAACACTCTCCGATGGTCACCAGATTTGTTTAACCCCTCACACAACCTCCTCCACGCATTCCGCCTGCAACCGCTGGGGAGAGAGCTGAGGCGAGGAGCCCCGCTCTATCCACTGCTGGCCTAGACTACCTCTAGTACACCATCTCTATAGGATGCTCTATCCACTGCTGACCTACACTACCACTAGTACACCAGGGACGTGCGGTCAGGGGAGGCAGAGCCTTACCTGTACATTCCAATGAAAATAGCTGTTATGAAAAAAAATCAAATAAAATAAATATTAAGATTTGTCCACTGATCTGTGTTATAAATGTCAGTTCTGTACGATTCCAATCATTTTTATAGTCAAAATCACCAAATTTGCGGAGCTCCGCTGCAAATACAGGAAGATACGAGAGGTGAGGCAGCGACGAGCTCAGCCTCTCCTCTGATTGCGCAACCCCTCAGTAACTGGATGGAGCGCGGGCATAAGCGCGTGCCTGTTAGTATCTATGCATGTCACCAATGTAATGTTTGTAGACCCCTTAATTTAATGTCCTCGCCTTCCATACTCCAGGTAAATTATTTCACGTATGTGTATAAAGATATTTAGGCTCGTTGGTCTCGTCATTAAAGTGCAATGAAAAAGCACCAGGGGAGGCAGCTATCACATCTGCCTCACTCAGTGAGGCCACGCCCCCCCCCAGTGAGGCCACGCTCCCCTCAGTGTGTGAATCTGGCTCTGACACGAGCAAGTGCCTCCCCAGCCATTGACCTCACCGCAAGTCACTGTAGTACACCACGCCTTAAGCTTGCTCTATGCACTGCTAGCCTAGACTACCTCTAGTACACCATGCCTATTGCATGTGCTAGCCACTCCTGGCCTATACTCCATCTCTATAGCTTTTGCTCTATCATGGCCTAGCCTCCATCTCTATAGGATGCTCTCTCCACTGCTGACCTAGACTATTGTGCCCCGACCACTCCGTTGCATTTAGAGGCTTACCCCCCCCCCCCCTTTCTCTCCGCCTGATGACGGCCGCTTGTGTTGCGATCGAAACGTCCTAGTTTTTTGTTTATTTTTTATTAATTTGAACTATCTACGTGACTTTGCAGTCACGAAAGCTTTAAGTCAAGATTTACAATGTGAGTACAACGTTTCGCCAGTAATTACAACTAGCTTCATCAGGCAACAGCCAGATTTGTGGAAAAATCCTCCTGTTTCGTTCCTTAAATAGAGGGGTAGATGTGATTAGGGGTGGGATTATTGAATCCATATAAATGACGATGGGTATCCATTGCCTGTTGGGTTGTTTGTATGGTAATCAATTTACATGATGCATGTGCATTATGCAAGCATCACAAGACACAGCGTTTACCGAAAGAAAACGCACACTGATGCCTATCTGAATGTAGAGTCATACCATCACCCTGCACGGAAATTCTCTCATCAAGACGCTCCTACGTCAGGCTAAGAAAGTGTCAGATGGTGATAGTCCTAGAAGTGAAATTTAACATGTGTAGTGTCGTGAAATACGCAGTGCGCACTGTTAGCCGAGGGCAACCGAGAGCAAACAGGTACGCGTGTGCAACGTTAGGTTTGCACCGACAAACTGTCAGTAATTAAGGGGAGCAACCAGGTGCAACCGAGGACGAGCAGGTGCACGTGCTGCGACTGGAGGTTGCTGTCAAAGAGGTTGATTGATGGGCCAACTGGTGTCAGCCTTGCGAGAGCTAAAGAGACGCACGGGAGGTCTCGGATAATTAGTAGGGTGATATAAGGGTGTGTGCGTGAGTGGAGAGAGGAGTTGTTGCCGGGAACAAAGAGTGAAGACATCTCGCCGCTGCCGCTTCAGCCGTCAACGGAACCTGAACCCTCACACGTCGCCAGGCGAGTGTTGGCTGACCCCCCCGCCCGGGACAGACGGGTGAGCGGGTCTGAGGGAGCGTAGGCGAGGGCATTGGTAGAGGTGTAGAGTTGCTGTGTGCGAAGACGCTGTGTGCGGAGTCGTGGAGTAAGAAGCTGCGTGCGGAGTAGCTGAGAGCAAAGCTGCTAAGTGCATGCTAAGTGAGGTACGGGGAGAAGTTGAGTATACGTGACCGGACAGATAGTTATAGGTGTGCCTACAACTGGTGCAAGAATATGTGAATAAAGTGTAAGCAGGTGACCTGTTTCAAAGTGTCGGTGTGAATTATTTTTGAAGACACTACACATGTAAAAGAAGTGCTACAATTGAGCGGTTACAATTATGCACAAATCAACAGAGCATTGCATTCCAAAACCAAATAAAATAACTGATAAACTATCCATATGTTTGGAAAAACAAAACATTGGAGTCAGATTTAGCACGGTACATAAAATACAGAAATCAATACTGAAGCCATCAACAGAAGGTGTATCCCGGATTAATTGCACGTGTGGCAAATGATAAGCACGAAAGTAAAAGACCAAAGAAATTTTAAATACCCCCAAATACAACTGTCGGCAATGGCAGAACATGCGTGCCTACAAGGACACTCATTTAATTTTGATAAGTTCTGTGCAAAACTAGTTACTACTGGCCAAGACTAATTAGAGAAATTAAAATATTTAACCATCCGGATAGCTACAGACTTTGTGCTGATTGGAAGCGAATCATCAGGTAATACATTGTTTAAATGCATGCCTATACAGGTCACCATACTTCAATAGGGTTTATCGTTGAACAATAACAGGTACGGGTATTTTAGTGCACACAAGCGACAGGAGGTACAAGAACAATACGCTTGCATAAAGCGCCTGCATAATGTACTTTGATTACCATACAAACAACCCAACCGGCAATGGATACCCATAGTCATTTATATGCATCCATTAATCCCCCCCCCTCCTACTTCGCGCAAGAAGTTGCTCACAAGTGTTGTCATCACAGTACCCTTCTATTTACGGAACGAAACAGGAGGATTTCTCTACATATCTGGTTGTCGCCTGATGAAGCTAGTTGTAATTACTGGCAAAACATCATACTCAGATTATAAATGTTGTGGCTTTGCTCTCCAACACACCGGTGTGCTGTACTGGTGACGAATTAGCATGTTATATTCACGTGACAAACCTTGCTAATTGGCTGTGTAGGGTGGTGGCAGGTTTAACGACACATTTATATATTTACGCGATCTAACCTAAAAAAACCTGTATTATGGCAAAATCTGAATATGTATTTATACTGGAGGTATCCGATGAGCTATGATGCAATTTTTTCACAGATGTGCATTCGGGTTACGTAAAAGAATGTTACAACAACAAAACATACAAAAACACCGTGGCCTTAAAAGAATAATGTAGGCAGAACCTGCTGAGCGCGACCCCATATAGCGCTATTTGTCCTGCACAATGGAATCAAAATATTTTAACAGCGCTTACGAGTGAGAACGTACAGCAGCCGCTGACCGAGCAAACATACTCGCCCCCATCATTTGCTAAGCCAATGAGAGCTAGGTATGCTCTGAGCCAATCAGACCCTACCCTCCGCGATTCGATTATGTCGATTTGTAGTCATCTACACATTAACAGAAATAATTTAAAAAATGGATTGTTAGCATACCTGTCAACCCATACGGTTTACCCGTATTCTAGTACAGGGAAATTCGCTTTTTCAGGTCCATACAGCGTACAGCCATTTCAATACGGGCAACAATATATATTTGTGTTTCTCTCTTATGATGGGACTGTGTAGGATGAACGTTGAGATTTATAAGGGCACGGGGTGACCAATACGGTCTGAATTGGTCTGTAATAATATCGGCACTGATAAGGGGTTGACAGGTATGTGTTAGCCAAGGTGAGAATTTAATGAGACCAGGATAAAGTCTCAGGCTCCATTTAAAATAAACATCACCAAAGAAATGTAGACTGAGGGCATCACTAACAATGACCCGGATTGGGAGCGCAGCAGCTTATACAACCTCCTCTCCAACGGCTGGAAATATAAGCAAAGAACCTCCATGACGACGACAAGACCACCGAAGCACGATGGAAGGAAGCCTGGGAAAACACCAACCTGCTGAAGAAATCTGTCATCAGCGACCCCACAATCCTGCATATCTGGATCTGATCTACCGAGGAAGATTTGGTCCTCCATGCCAAAGCCATCACTCCAACCATGAAGAAGGACCCTCTTGAGGAGCCATTCAAAACCATCACCTTACTCTACATTGCAGGGATCACAAAAAAGATCTACAAAATCTTGAAAAAACACAAGATCCAAGTCCGATTCAACACATTACATAAAATCCGTGATCTGGTTCCGTCTGTTAAAGATGTGATTCCGGACATACAGTATCCTGGCGTTTACAAACTGAGTTGCCTCTGTGGTAGTATTTACATTGGAGAAACCAGACGACATGTCTCTTACCGCATCCGTGAGCACAAAGCAGACCTAAAATACGGTAGGACCAACACCTCGGCCGTGGCAGATCACTGTTATAAATCAGTGGGCTCACATGCCATTGATTTCTCCAAGACAGAGGTTATCTGCAAGCCATCTGGCTACCATGAGAGGTTCGTTCATGAGGCTATTCACATATACAAACACAGAGACAATTTCAACCGAGAAGATGGATTCT